ACGGAGTCGACCAACTTCTGGCACGTGTAAACAGGTATGCCTGCCCAGGATGATTTGACAGCCTTCCACAATTCCTCTGCATTTCTTGGTTTTGCTTCAGAAACAGCATTTTTGATGCCACCCCACAAGTTTTCTGTTGGATTAAGGTCCAGGGATTGGGCTGGCCACTCCATAACCTTAATTTTGTTGGTCTGGAACCAACATACTGCTCGCTTACTGGTGTGTTTGGGGTCATTGTCTTGTTGAAACACCCATTTAAAGGGCATTTCCTCTTCAGCACAAGGCAGCATGACCTCTTCAAGTATTTTGTTATAAGCAAATTGATCCATCATCCCTGGTATGGAATAAATAGGCCTGACACCATAGTAAGAGAAACAGCCCCATATCATGATGCTTGGACCACCATGCTTCACGGTCTTCAGGTGTACTGTCGCTTGAATTCAGTGTTTGGGAGTCGTCTGACAAACTGTCTGTGGCCCTTACTTTCATCAGTCCACAAAATGTTTCTCCATTTCTCTTTAGGCCAGTTGATATGTTCTTTGGCAAATTGTATCCTCTTCAGCACGGGTTTTTTTTTGGGTTTTTTTTTTTAAACAGTTGGATTTTCTGGGGGCTTCTTGCCGATAGACTCTGACAATTAGAAGAAGCTTGTCTTAGTACTCACAGGTAACTTCAGACCATCTCCCTGGAGCTGATCATTGGCTGAGTCTTTGCCATTCTGGCTATTGTTTGATCCATTCGAATGGTAGTCTTCCATTTTCTTGCACGTCTCTCTGGTTTGGCTTTTCATTTTAAAGTATTGGAGATCATTTTAGCTGAGCAGCCTGTCATTTTCTGCACTTCTTTATGTTTTCCCATCTCCAATCAACATTTTGATTAAAGCACGCTGTTCTTCTGAGCAATGTGTGGCACGACCCACCTTTGTCAGGTTTTCAGAGAGAATTCCATGTGCAACATCTTCTTCTTTTCTGAGGTTGTAACTTTGCAAAATTAAATTAAGGAAACAAATTATTAGAAACAAGTTGTCTACTTATCATGTTCACATAAAACAATCAGAGCAATTAATACAAAAAAACCCTTTTATATTCAAGAAGAACTGTAGAAAGCTAAAACATGATACTAATCCATTCACCTAGGGCAGCTTAACAATCACTTGGGATGAGCTTATTTAGAAGCATCAGATGTATGCTGACAAGTAAAGACATGGCCATCTATGTAAGCGCCCCCCATCCAGGTCAGTCAACAGTTGAAGGACGAGTGAGGCAACTTCTGGGGCCACCCACAAGCCCAAGACCTCGGTACCCTCTGACCTCCTCCAACCTCTGGGTAGCTGGTCGTAAATTCGACCCTGTTCCTGATTGGCTGGATCGAAACCGTCCCACACCATTTTACTGGTAATGGTTGAAGGTAGCCAAACCTCTGGGCGAAGTCCTGCTTGCAATCTTTCGACTCAGGCTGGCAAAAACTTCCGGTCACTCGGGGCCGCTGGAGTTGAGCGAAGGTGGGGTCCGTGCCTCCCCAAAAAGCTGTTTCACAGGGATCAGGTTAAACCTGGCCTCCTCCACTCTATTATATATTGGTCAGGCCCTTCTGAAATTGGGTCAGGCCCCAATTTCAGAAGGGGGTCAGGCACTGACAGTGCTTTTCCTCATTGGTAAAAGCTAGGGCCACCTCGATTTTAAATTGTTTTACTGGTGGACCCCATCTCGGGGTCGCACCAGGAGTCAGAGAGAATGTCATTTTTGCCCACACTGGCTACTGACGTGAAGACCCACCTGATTCTCTCAGGGATGCTCGCTCCTGTATGACTGTCTCCCACCGAAGTGGAGCGTTTGTAAAAGATCTGGCCGTGCAGCCACCAACTCTCCCCATCCTCACTGTTACAAAGCACCGGTTTAACTAAGAATAACCTTTTTATTTTAGTTTAACACATTTACACACACACACAGACATACATGTTTACACATGCCGATACACACACACATGCACACTCACACAGACATACATGTTTACACATGCCGATACACACACACATGCACACTCACACACGACGCAGATATTCTGCAAACATTCTGTTTTTACATTTGTCATCCTCGAGTTAAGACATTAAAAATACTTCATTCCACTTTTCCAATTCCACTCTTTAAGTGGTTTAGAAGATGAGCTTTTAATATTCATTCAGATGTTTTCTGACTCTATATTTTCTTTTGTCATCAGTTGGCTTTTCTAATGTGGATTTTAAAGATGTTCAGCTACTTTCCAACTTTGAAACTCTGCGTGAACTTCAGCTTTCAACAGGTCTGCACTTTGGTGAAAAAGTCAGTCTGCCCCAGGGCAGCTGTGGCTACAATCGTAGCTGCCTCCACCAGTGTGTGAATGTGAGAGTGAATGAATAGTGGCATTGCAAAGCGCTTTGGGTGCCTTGAAAAAAAGCGCTATATAAATCCAATCCATTAAAAAATTCTGAATGAGTTGAAATCCACTGAATCATTCACCTGAAGGCCAAAGATTCAGCAGTTATTACATTTCAGCTCAAACCATTCAGCTATCAGCATTCACACTGCATTTCGATCAGGAAATGCATTCTCTCTCTTTTTTCTTTACTATATACAATATATACAGTACTGTATGTATTTTGGCCATTTATGTATGTATAGCTGTATATCTCAGATTCTGTAAAGTTATTTATTTCATATTCTGTATAGTTTTTCATATTTATATCCTGTTCATAGCCTGTACATACTTATAGTTATAGAATATTCACAACATACTTCATACCGTGTACATTATAACATACCAAAATAGACCCATTTCTGTAATATACTCACATATCTATATTATTGCTAATATATATTGTAATATATCTATATCACTAAAGCACTTCTGGATGGATGCAAACTGCATTTCGTTGCCCTGTACCTGTGCATGTGCAATGACAATAAAGTTGAATTCTATTCTATTATCAAGTCTTGTATATTACAGTTTTTCTCAAATGCTAAAACACATTTCACAAACGTTACCACCAGGTCCCCCAATGTCCAAACACAACACCCTTCTCTAAAGCTACATAAACACAACCACACCTTCCCACTGCAAAACTCAAACTCCCACACCAAGAGAGCAGCTCGAAGCTGTCAAAACTATAAACACTATACACAGCATTACACACTACAGCAAAACAATTGAAAACACAATGCTCAATTTGTGAGAAGGTTCTTTGTTTCATAACTGCCAATGCATATTTTAGAAACTATACAGTAACGGATCGTCGTAGATCTCTGCAGAGGATTAGGCATTTAGATTTGTGAGTTTCATATGAGTAGTATAAATCTATAGAAAATCCTGCATGTATGTACACTACTGTAACACAACTCAATGCAAAAACAGAATCTATTGCACACAACAGTAATCTTGAAAACATGAACAGGGTGTGAAGTTTTTTTATTTATGTTATTCACACCACACACACCACAATCACTGTGCGGCATCATGTCACTGAGCTGTTGCTCGCATCTCGTCCGTAATGATGGTGCGAGGTTGTCTTGCTCTCCCTCCTGGACCTTCTCCTCTCCCATGTTGGCCTTCTCCTCTTCCTCGTTGGTCGCTCCTCTTCCTCCTCTCATTTTAACTCCTCTTCCTCATTGGCCTGCTCCTCTTCTTCCAGGGCCAGCTCTTCTCCCTCCTCTGCATCAAATTCCTCTTCCCCTGACTCTGCCTTCATCCATTGTGTTTGTTTGGAACCTTCAGCATACTGTGCACTCTGAACTTGCTTTTACATGTGGGTACAGCATTAGCAACAAGTGTCTTCAATTTTGAGTCATTGTGTGTAGTGAATGACGCCAGGTGTGTTCCCTGTGTTCAAAGATTGGTGACTGTGGCAAGCATTTTGCATCACATGGGCTTTCATTTGAGGATATGAGCAGAGTTGTTTTGCAACATGTGTTTTAGCAAGGAAAAATGTGTTTAGATTTATGAGTACAGAGGGTTGTGTTTTGTGAATTGTGTCTTCATGTGACATGTGTTTATGGTACTGGAATATGGTGGCTACATTTAGTAAATGTGTTTAGACTACTGGTCATTTGGGTTACAGGATTGGCTTTTGTGTTTTAACATTTGAGAAAAACTGTATCAAGAAATCCTTTACTTAGCATACACGTGTTTTCAAAATATTCCTTTCTGTTCTTAATCATATGTAAATTACACATGCAGACATTCTGTTTGATGCTGATAGTTGTTTGTTTTACTGCAGTGTACTTTGTTGGCTTATTTTGTGCAAAAAAGATGCATTTAATGAAGATGATATATAAAAACAGACTTTCACTCAAGGCAACCAAATGTCTCAATGCTTTGGCCTCATATGAAAATGACAAACTGCATGTCCTTTACCTCTCTCTTTCTTGTGCTTGCTAATACAAGGAAATTCATTTCAATTATTAATGTGAAATAAATCAAAAATGTGCTCTTTAAAAGCAACTTTAAATGACAAACTATTCAACTAAAAATTCACAATCCAGTCACATGTGGAGCACCTCACACATTAAAGCCATACAGTTTGATTGTGTTTGGGTCTTTTAAATGGTTATGAATAGTGCAGTGTAGTTTTTACTGTAGAATCAAGAGCAAAATCTCTTCTACAGTGATGAAACTATATCTCCTAGACCAGAGGTGTCAAAACTATTTTACATCAAGGGTCACATACAGCCCACTTTGATCTTAAGTAGCCGGACCAGTGAAACTGTCTTTCTGTCAGTGTAAAGAAGTTAAATCTTTAACTGTTTTTCTACATAATCAAGAAAAAACAGCTGTGACATAGAAAGAAATCTGTCAGCATGAGTCTTTGGACTTTAACTGTACAAAATAAATGTGTAACATTACAGAAAAGGTTTGGGTAGCTCATTGCCTGGACTGTCAGTTTTTTGTTGTTGTTGTTTCTTAAATTAAACTGTAGTCATAAAAAAAACACAGACATTTCTATAGTAGAAAGTGAAAATCAGAAACTATTTTGTCATTTAATTGTTTATTGCTTAATTACTTTGCATAATATGAATGGCCTCTCTATCTTCTTTGTTCAACCTGGACAACTTTTATTACTTTCCTTCATCCCCTGGACCTTTAAGGGGAATGTAACACGTGATTGTCCGCATGGTGTACCTATCAAAATAAAGCCCAACCCCTGTCTGCAGGAATTCTCAACAGGGCTGAAGATTCAGCTCCCACATAGAGACCACATCAATAACTGACATATGAAATTATTTTGCTGGCCAGAAAAAATTGTATTGTGGGCCTGATATAGTCCGCTGGCCTGTTTTAAAACCCCTGTCCTAGACTATTAGTCATTGCTGTTTGAAGATTCTCCTATCTGGATTCATCCTATTCAAACTTGAACACTCATTTCCTGATCACCTCCTGGGTTACTTCTTGGAGGGAGGTAAATTGTTCCTATACATCTTTAGAATTTTCCGGACTCCCTTCTCAACTCTGCGGAAATGTAGCCTCTTCCAGAGGCTCTGCTGCTGTTGACGCCCCCACTCCAGATCCTCGAGAAAGACCTGCAAAAAAGAACAAAGGGCCACTGGTTTTACTGACACACACCTGACAATCAATCTTTTTTGTGCATTTCACCTCATCAATTTTAAGTTGGGTGTTTGTACATGTAAAATGACTCAAATTTAATTCTGCAAATCGAATTCATATCTTAAGGTCACTAATCCAATGATCCCTGTTCTCTGACAACATGAGTGAGGTGTCACACTAGGAAAAAATGCTGTCTCAATGCCATCTTCAGAAGCATATATGTCATAACACTAACAAACTGGATGCGTTCCACAAAAGCATCCAGTTTGTTCCACACAAACAAAAAAACATCTAAACCTGGATCTCTAATATTTCAAATTCCTACATTATAAATGCAACAGGAGTGCCAGCGTAACAGTACTGGTAAGTGAGTTAAAGACAGACCTTGGTCATCATATCACAGCTCATGTCTGCCAGACACCTATTCAGGTGCTAATGCTCAGGAGGGAAAACAGAGGGGAATAAAATGCCCTTAAAGCCAAGGGGTAGAAATGTGTGTCACTAACTGGATGTCATGATCCTGGGTCTTTGACCCACTGTCTTGTGTTTTCAGGGTTGTTTTTTTAATGAAATATTTTCTGTTTGAATCTTGGCTTGCTTGCAGTTTCTTCCCCAGAACGGTGATACTGTTTATTTAGACATTGAGTTTTCTTGAGTCTTGAGACTAAAGAAGTCACTTGGGTGAGTGGGAAAATGTTTCTTCCTTTGAAAAGACAATATCTAGATGAATTAACTTGGGGTTTATGGATGGCAAGTATCATAACACTTGTTTATTAACTTCTGTCTATCACAGCTAAACTGAGGTGAGTTGAGGATATCCTGAACTGTTGTTTTTGATACTGTTAGCTGGTGTAAGCAAAACTGGAATCTAACAGACTTGTTAAGACTTAAACACTATCCAAATAGACCCTTATATGATGTGAATAAGTAAGCATGTTTACGTGGGTTTTCATGTTTCAGAAACTCCAGTTTAGAAGGTAGGCTTGAGGTAATAATGAAAATATATGCATACAAATGTGGAATTGCTACATATAAACTTAAAACATAAAGCAAAGAATTTGTATTTGGTTACTTGTTTGTTATAATAATGCTTCTTGGCAATATATCATATACCGTTGGTGTCAAACTCATTTTAGTTGTGGGTCACATACAACCCACTTTGATCTTAAGCAGCCGGACCAGTAAATTCTCCATTCTGTCAGCGTAAAGAAGTTACATATTTAACTGTTATTCTACATGATAAAGAAAAAGCTGCTGTAAAAAACAAAGAAAGCTGTCAGCACGACTCGTTGGACTTAAATTGTAAGAAATAAATGTGTAGAATGACAGAAAAACTTGTGGTAGCTCATTGCCCAGACTCTTCAGTTTTTGTGTTTGTTTGTTTTGGGGTTTGTTTGTTTTGTTTTTTTATAAACTGTAGCTGTAACCCTCCCCCAGAAATGTCTGTAATAGAAAACATTTTTTTTATTAGAAATATAGCATTTTGTATATTTATTATAAGTGTTTGCAATTTGGCATAATTTGTGAAAGGTTACATTTCTTCATTATTAAATAGCATAAATAACCCTGTAAACACCTTTAGTAAATTCAACAGTAAATATATATAAGAGAAAATATATATTACTGTAATTATTCCTACAGTAAATTTGTTTTACAGTAGTAAACTGACCTAGGTGAAACTGACCAATGGCTATAGAGATTTCTTTCAAACTTTCTTCAACTGTTTTGTGGGACTGACATTGAAAAGAAAAATGATTGTTTTCTGGAGAAAACATTAATTCAAAAAAAGAGTACCATGTTCTTATTATCCTCAAACAATTTTTTAGACACACATGCTTCTAACTTGATTCGCTTCCTCTCAACTTTCTTACAAAAGGCAGTACTAACTGTTTATAAAGATAGAGGAGTCGTGTATTGTCATACACTGGTTATTAGCTTACATTGGTTATTGAGCCCAGCAAATAGTTTTGGCCTTATTACCGTCTGAAAATTATTTGCTAATGCTGTCACTGTTAATGCCATTAGTATATGATACTAATGTTTAACTGTTTGCTATCTATCCTGTGAAGAGGTTGCCTAATATTACTAGTTACAAGTTATTTAAACATAATTTGTATTTGGAAAAGCTTTGTTTTATATCTTCTTTCTTAAAGCTTTTGGCCCGAGTCACTATTTGTGAGGTGTTCACTGGAGCCTTTTGTGCCTGGTATCTGGATTAGGTTTGGTTTGGAACTGCTGTGAAAACTCAGCGGGTGAGTAAGCTGTTGTAACTAAATTAACTGAAGTCAATCTAAGCGAAACGACAAATCTAAGGTGCATATATGTTCCTTGCCTACTAAGTTTGGATGGGGGGGGATCAGTATTTAGTAACTTTGGAATAAAAGAAAACTTAAAAATAAAGTTTTTATCTTCATTCCCCCTCACCACCTTCCTAACGCGTGGTATAACTAACACTTTTCTAATGCTTGTCACATGACTAACATTAGCGTTTAACGTTAAGTTTAAACCCATATGCCTTCATGTCTAGTATTAAATGATATTACATATGTCACAAGGTTAATATTGCTCAAGTCAGAAGTTAATTACAACTATTAAAATAGTCACGCCATTTGTGTACAAACAGTGCAATGTATCAACGCGGACACTGACTAGATTTTATCGCCATATCAAAATGCATTGGAACCTATGTTCACCCATGTTTGGTTGTGGCTTAATGAATTGTCCATGCAGTTTTTGAACACTTGCTGCACTTACATTGCACATGCACTCCAAGCACACACAGTCAAAAAAACCTTCATTGAGCTGTACACCTACTCATATGGATGCAGTGATTTGTGAGGTTGAGGGATGCCAGCATACATCTCATGATTTGTACATTTTGTGTGATCATTTTAAATGGCACATAAGAGATGGAAAATATTACTTGCCTGTTTCCTAACTGAAAAACTTATTTTCACGTGAAATCATCTTTCACATTACACATCAGCAGAAAACATTAACATGCTTTACAGAACCCTGCAAAGGTAGATAGTGATGCAGCAGGAAGTAAGCATGAGAGCGAGATCCATGAAAATTATACAGTCTCCACTGTGCACCCTGAGCTGGTCAAAGGGATTGATATAGTAGAATGTGTAATTCATTTTATGTGCTTTTTTGTTCTTGGGTCACTGCGACACCAGCAGATGTAGTTGACAGCTGTGGGGATTTATTTTTATCTTAACGCTAACATCACATAAAGTGCCCAAAAGTAAATTGCAGTAATACTGTAAATGGATAATACAGGAAAAGTGCAGTACAAGAAATTATAGTAAAAATGCAGTACTAGTACTGTAAAGGAAATTACGGTACTACTATAAATGCACAATACAGTAAGGTTACTGTGATTTGTATTTACAGTAAGTTACTGGCATCCAGCTGCCAGCTAGTTGTTGTAGATTTTACAGCAACCTTTGTACAGTTTAGGCTTTCTTATCAGATGATGGAAAACTGGTCTCGAAGCATGCTAAGAGGTACAGCTCTGCAGAAAGTGCAATTTTATTGTGGTGGAACCAAGACAGTAAAAATTAAAAGGGAATTACAATGTTTTTTCAAATGTGCAGTATAGTTTTCATCTTCTTTTGCTGCTTATGCAGTGAATTTTGGTCGGCGAGTGATAAATCTTGCAGTTTTAGAATCTGTCAGCACTCAACCACATGTCCTTGGCCGCCAGGTGAACACAGACAAACGCGAGTACATCCTTTTGCAGAATCTGTTTGCCTGCTTTTTAATTGTTTGCTGTTTTACCAGTTTTGCGGTTTTTGAAATAGTTTTGTGAGCTTTTAGCTGAGATTCTGACATTTCTGTGGATATCACACATGTCTTTATTTAAACAATAGATCTGGCGGTACATCCCATTAAACCTGATGTTCTCCCTCTCCCCTCTGGTACCAGGACCATTGGGGTTCAACAGGTTAACTGTTTAATGCTAAATTACTGTTGCGCAGCGGTATTTATTGCTTAATTAAAAGCAGTAAAACTTATGAAAATACAATAAAAGTCCAAATGGGCATACATTTAGGTCTGTGACACTCAGACACTGAGCCATGGCTCTGCAGACATTTCTGCATCTCTGCTATTCAAAGCTACTTTGTAAAATTTATTTTATGCAAAATTTAATAGTCAACTATAAATTGAGTCTTTCTCAAGAAAGCAATTTTGTATTCAGTGTTTTCATAAAAGCCTTATTTTTATGGATGTGCTACTACTAGGAAGAATACACATGAGGTTTAAGGCCTGGACAAGTTTGAAACCTTTTGTCCTCCTCTATGGTGGCCCCGAGAGGCCAAACGGACTGCAACTTAAGAAAACACCAGCAATAAGAAAAATGCTGCAAAAGCACACAAAACACAACAGAAATAGGAAAAAAGAAAACAGAAATAGGAAAAACGACAACGGAAATGGGGGGGAAAAAACAGATTTCCACAAGCACGAGGGAAGTGTTTCTGGGGAGACAATAACCCAATGTGTTTGTGTTGTTTTTGGATTGGATAGTTGAGTTGAGTGCCAAGGGGTACACGCTGGGCTATGGTGGACTCAGGTTGTATGCAGACCCTGGTCCACCAAAACGTGGTTCAGCCTGGAGCATTGTTGGAAGCAGAACTACATGTGTAGTTGGTGCCTTTAAAAAATATTATGTGGTGTTATTAGAAATTAAAATAAAAAGCAAAACATCGGCTGCTGTTAGCTTCTGCCTTACACAACCCATAAATGTGGAATGGACTGGCCTAGATTTAATAAAGTGGTGGGATGATGTTTGCGGGTATGCTCAAAACACATTCAGACATGTGGTTTCGGTTATGCTTAGTGGTGATGTGAGGTTGTCCAGCAATGCTGCCGGAGAGGGGGAACCTGCGAGGCCTTTTCAGGAAGCCCACCAGTTCCCGTGATTAATTCCATCGGTCTCTTCTTCCCCTGGAGGCTGAAGTCCACTGACAAAGAAGCACTGACACTGTGGCGTTCAGTGCTTCTTTGTATGCTCCTGTGTGTTGGGGGTGCGTTCTGACGTACAAAAACAACAAACAACTGGACAAGCAGGTGAAAAACACCAGCTGGCTGGTTTCTCATGTCTTGTTTATAAACACTTAAACACAAGTATCTTAAAAATGCTGAGCTTAACCTATTATTTAAAAAAAAAAAAACAGGCTTTTAAAAACCCACACAGTATGAATCATTTTTTAAATGACATGTTTTATGTACATTTTTACATTTACATTGTACTGTATGTATATACCTTTAGTTGCTGTATGACATGCTGCTGATCCCAGGATGAGGAGTTCTCTCGTATAACATTGAGAATGGGGCGCCAGTTCTCAGAGAGGTCTGTCCCTTCAGTGACAGAAGCCAGGACCTTGACCCGTTGGCCACTGTGGCTACGGGGAACACCTCGGGCATACAGGGACTGCTTCGCCACTTTACTGAGAGGGTTCAAATATAAACTGCACAAAGACATGGACAAAAAAATTTCTGTAGGGCTTGCATGAAAGACTGCATGCTTTTAGTGTGTCTCTGAGGCCTTTTGCATTTCACCATATGTAGTCCATTTTAAAATGTTCTTGGTCTCATTCACAGGAGTAATAAATTGATAAATTCTATCAATTATCTGATGACACAATATCAGGATTCCCAAAAGGTTGATTCTGTTCATCTGGACGTAGCGTTTTCAGTGGGAGAAATGCTTTGTCACTCATCCAAATGACTTCTTCTGTCGGAAGAAGACAAAATGTTTCTCCCACTGAAAACGCTTTGTCCAGATGAACAGAATCAACCTATTGGGATTTACTTAGCTGGACTTACAACTTACATTACGCATGCATCAAAACAATATCAGGGTTTATAATTTAATATATGCCAAACTGTAAGTAAGGTGCTTTTTTCATGTTACGAAAACTGTCAGTGTTCTATGAAAAAAAAATATATATATTTATAATGCAAAAAGGACAGTGGAATCAGAATTTATTTATAATGTGGTCTATGCAATACAACATTATAGCACAACTAAACCTCAAAGAAATGTTGAGCTTTGGATATAGTGAGAAGTTTCTTACTGTACAGTCTGAATGCTGGGATGTTCTCTACAGGCATCTACCAGAAGTAGAGCTGCGTCGTCTCCAATATTGTTATAGGCCACGTTGAGCTCCTGGAGTCTTCTGTGTTGTTGGAGCCTCTTAGCCAGATCCAGGACACCCTCATCCCCCAGTCCAGTGTGCATCAGGGACAAGTTTGTCAGGGACTGATTCTCTGGCAGGGCTTCCACCAGGATTTGGACTCCAGACTCCATAAGAGGGTTGTCACACAATCTGAAGAACACAATGGAATAATATGGCATTTCTGGTTTGGTCTACGACTAAGAATAAACTCCATGTGCAAATGAAGGTGTTAGCCAGGGCTTCGTAGCAAAAATATAGGCTAAGGACTATAACTCCGGTCAGTAGCTAATTGATGATCAGAAAAAAGTAATAATAAATAAACCACAATCCAATGGCCAGGTCATTAGAATTGACACTGAAAGTAACAATAAATGAATGTGAATAAAATAGCACAATCAATTCTCTTGACGCAATCGTACAGGTAGAACAGTATGTGACTTTCCTCTGATTTAGACTTTGCTCAATGTTGAGTCAAACACTGTTGTTAAAAGAAGAGGGGATGTTACACAGTGATAAACCTTTCCCATATATAATTAATGTGGAAGAAAGACATTTAGCAAACTGAAAATGATGTCAATTGAAATGTTAGTTTGCTCTTTTAAACCATTATGTCATAAAAAAGAGAAAAAAAGAACAACATGTACAGAGTAAATTTGATTATTAACCATTGACATGTCAAACATAAGTCCAAAGATATAATATCCAAAGATATAAAATTTCATAGACTCACAAATTTGACTCTTTTTGGAAGGTGAAGTTCAACTTTAATATTACACTGTAGAGCACCCTTAAACTGTGGATCAAGGTCCAGCTTGTGTGCCATTATATTGTTTTGAAGGAGAAAAAAAGAAGAAATCAAAACAAAAAGAAAATGAACACGGTGCTTGTCATTATCAAAACTTTTCCCAGCAAATGGCCGTTAACACATCAAACAACTCAGAAAGATTACACTTAAACCTGTGGTGAGTCACAGGTTTAAGTGTAATCTTACAGGTGAGTCTCTTTACGGTCTTCAGACTTCCCATAGACAACCTGGGAAAACATGGATTCACTAAATTTATGACTCTGTCATTAAGCTTAGCTGAGCTGAATTCTTAATTCTGTCTGTTATTTTGACTGTCTCCCAGATTAGGCCGGTAGCTTTTAGTTTTATGTGTGCCAAATAAGAAGCATCATTTGATATACCCCCCCCCCCCCCCCCCCCCCAAACAAAACAAAACAAAACATAATGAACAGCTGTCAAACAAAGCATAAGACACCTTAACAAAGGTTGACCTATTCAGTCCTGATCAAGAGTTTAAAACCACCATATTTTGCATGGTTGGATCTTAACAAGGTTCCAAGTAGGGCTGCGACATGCTACAAGAAGAAATGGGAGAGAGACAAAACATTTTTTTCAGCATGCAAATTTATTAAAGAACGAGACAAAAGCGCGTTGCTAGGACTGATCTGAGGCAAATTTCATTTCAAAAGACTACCCAACAGAAGCCTTGATAAAATGCTGGATACGGTTTCTGGTCTACTAAAGAATCAAGAGGCTGTTTTTGCTGCTTTAGACAAACAAAGCACAAGTTAACTCCATCAAAGCTGGTAAAACTCCAAAAGCTGGTAACTGTTCTTGAGCCATGCAGGTAAATAAAACTAGTTTTTAACTTATTGTTACAGTTTCTTCAAAAAGCTCTATAGTTGACAGTTATTGTGTAGATTAATAATAATCTTGGAGGTGAGACATATGTCTCATGTTCAGTGGTTTTATCTTCTGCCACCTGCATCACACCATGGAGGTCTCCAATGATGACTCAAACACATGGTGAAATTTATTCTGCCTTTGTAAAAGACCTATCTCAACCTGTAGCTACACGCAACCATCAGTGGCTCAAGATAGCTACTGTGCTTGACCCACGCTTTAAGGATTTATATTGTTTTGCAAGGGGAGAGCAAGAAGAGGTTTGGACCAGCCTTGAGGCCCTGCTGCCTCAGTGTAAAGACGCCACCACAAAGGAGCCAGCAAAGACAAAGAGCCTCCTCTCTTCATTGTCTTCAGACTGATGCAGATGAGGAAGCCCTGTGTAACGGGCCCTGAATTTGTACAGAGCAGGATCCACCATCAGCGAGAAAGACTGCTTGCTGAAGTGATGGTCCAGGCGAGAAGGGACCCACCCACAGCTGTCTGTCATAGCCCGCAAGTATTTGATTAGTCCTGCCACTTCTGTCCCATGTAAGAGAGACTGTTCTAACTTGCAGGTCACATAGTAACAAAAAAGAGAGTTGCCTAGAGCTCTGAAAATCTGAACAGGTTAGATTGTCAAAGTAACTGGCTGAAAGAGACAGACGGTAAATAAGCATGGAGCTATTGTGAATCTAATGGGTTTGGGGGGTTTTTGCACTAAAATGTTCAATGATCACATTGTTTTAACCTAATGTACAAATAATTTTGGCTAAGGATACTCAGAGTTTAAAGCTGTTCAACCTTTTATGTTTCTACCTTATTTGTTTAAGAAGAAAAATTGCACCTTATGTTGAAATTTTTATTATTATTATTTAAATACAATACCATTTTAAAAATGTACTTAAAGTACTTAAAATAACACTATTTTTAATTGTGCCCTATTTTGGCTAGTGATATTATTTTTGTTTCTCTGTTTTTTCAATTGAAATGCAGTTTAAAGAGCTTGAGTTTATAATATTCATGACCATGTCCATGATTCTGTCACCCACTAAAACCCTTTTTAATTAAAAAAAACAAAAAACATATGCGCTTTAGGGCATATTTTCTTGTCCAGTTAATTTATTACTTTGCCCATAATTATTTGGCTTAATTTTTGGCTTAATCTTACCCCTAAACTCCTTGGAATTCAAGTTTCAATTGATGTTCTGACATTCTGGTAGTGTCTTACTTGTACCGTGTTTGCAGTTGCAATGTAAAACCAAGTTGTGCAACTTTTTCTTAATCTTTCCAATACTTATGCATTTTCAAATTATGCAATCAAATTCTGAAATCTATTACATAAAATTAAAAGACAATGCCAAGGTAAAGATGTGACTCATTTGGTTACATACATTTGGGCTAAAAACATCAAAACTGGAATAAAAGTAGAGTCTTACTTCAGAGATCTAATAACACTCCTGGGATCTAGCAGTAGGTCTCTCAGCAGACTGCAGGACTCAGGACCAAGGGTGTTAAACTGCAGACTGAAGACAACAGAGACAATTACATGCGCACACACACACATACATATACATACATGTATGTACATATATATATATATATATATATATATATATATATATATATATATATATATATAAAAAAAACACCCAGCACGCCCCTGCGGGCGGTTTATCCTTCAAGCTCGGGTCCTCTACCAGAGGCCTGGGAGCTTGAGGGTCCTGCGCAGTATCTTAGCTGTTCCCAGGACTGCGCTCTTCTGGACAGAGATCTCCGATGTTGTTCCTGGGATCTGCTGGAGCCACTCGCCTAGCTTGGGAGTCACCGCACCTAGTGCTCCGATTACCACGGGGACCACCGTTACCTTCACCCTCCACATCCTCTCGAGCTCTTCTCTGAGCCCTTGGTATTTCTCCAGCTTCTCGTGTTCCTTCTTCCTGATATTGCTGTCATTCGGAACTGCTACATCGATCACGACGGCCGTCTTCTTCTGTTTGTCTACCACCACTATGTCCGGTTGGTTAGCCACCACCATTTTGTCCGTCTGTATCTGAAAGTCCCACAGGATCTTAGCTCGGTCATTCTCCACCACCCTTGGGGGCATCTCCCATTTTGACCTCGGGACTTCCAGGTTATACTCGGCACAGATGTTCCTGTACACTATGCCGGCCACTTGGTTATGGCGTTCCATGTATGCCTTGCCTGCTAGCATCTTGCACCCTGCTGTTATGTGCTGGATTGTCTCTGGGGCATCTTTACACAGCCTGCACCTGGGGTCTTGCCTGGTGTGATAGACCCCAGCCTCTATGGATCTTGTACTCAGAGCTTGTTCTTGTGCTGCCATGATTAGTGCCTCTGTGCTGTCTTTCAGTCCAGCTTTGTCCAGCCACTGGTAGGATTTCTGGATATCAGCCACCTCCTCTATCTGCCGGTGGTACATACCGTGCAGGGCCTGTCCTTCCATGATGGTTCCTCGTCTCCCTCCTCTTTCTTGGGTTTCTGCTGCCTGAGGTATTCACTGAGCACTCGGTCAGTTGGGGCCATCTTCCCAATGTATTCTTGGATGTTCGTTGTCTCATCCTGGACTGTGGTGCTGACACTCACCAGTCCCCGGCCCCCTTCCTTCCGCTTAGCGTACAGCCTCAGGGTGCTGGATTTGGGGTGAAACCCTCCATGCATGGTAAGGAGCTTTCTTGTCTTTATGTCAGTGGCTTCTATCTCCTCCTTTGGCCAGCCTATTACCCCAGCAGGGTACCTGATCACGGGCAGGGCGTACGTGTTGATGGCCCGGATCTTGTTCTTACCATTCAGCTGACTCCTCAGGACTTGCCTGACCCTCTGCAGGTACTTGGTGGTTGCAGCTTTTCTAGCGGCCTCTTCATGGTTCCCATTCGCCTGTGGGATCCCCAAGTACTTGTAACTGTCCTCTATGTCTGCAATGTTGCCTTCTGGTAGTTCAATCCCCTCAGTTCTGACTACCTTCCCTCTCTTTGTTACCATCCGACTACACTTCTCCAGTCCGAACGACATTCCAATGTCATTGCTGTATAGCCTGGTAGTGTGGATCAGTGAATCGATGTCTCGTTCACTCTTGGCATACAGCTTGATGTCATCCATGTACAGGAGGTGGCTGACAACTGCTCCGTTCTGTAGTCGGTATCCGTAGCCAGTCTTGTTAATGATCTCATATATATATACATATATATGTATATACACGCACACACACACACACATGTATATATATATATATATATATATATATATATATATATATATATATATGTATATATATATATATATACATGTATGAGTTCTAATTAGAATTTATATATTAAATTAGAATTTAGAAATAAATGTTGTATTCCAATGTACTAGTGTAATTTATTACAATATTATAAAAATGTTTCAATTTATTCATTTATTTAATTTTATTTATTTCTTTTAATTATTTATTTATTTATTTATTTATTTTTACAAAAAAGCTTGAAGTCAAACCACTACTACATACTGGTATGTATAATGTTGGTATGTGTTTGGTATGTGTATGGGTCAGTGTAATGTTGGACCCATTCATAACCCATTTTCGTCTTCTAGCTGACGGAATAAGGTCAAGATTTTACAGTTAATAACGCCATCTATTGTGCCCTCAATGCAGTCAACTCATCCTGTACCCTTAGAAGAGAAACAGTACCACACAGGCAAGGCACCCTGAGGGGAGCTGGGTTGTAGGGGATCAAATATTTCAAACTTTTTTGCAGCATGTTTTTCTGAATCTGACGCTTGATTATAATGAAACTACCATAATTACCATTGGGTAAGTGCATCATGCCATTGTAACATCCAACACAAAATAAAAGCAGTTCTAGTAGCTATAATAGTACCATCACCATCATGCAATATGCATCATGCATCATGAACTCAGGTTGCTTTTTTTTGCAAGCAACAAGATCATATATTAAGTTTCAAGTCTCACTTGAGGTTGTATGTGTGTCTGAAGGCAGGGCACAGCATCTGAAGCGTGTCATTATTCAGGAGACAGGAGGATAGGTCCAGTTCTTCAAGGTAGTAACTGTAACAAAGCACCACAAGATGGTTAAATAAAAACAATAATGAAAAACAAATAGACAGCTCCTTTGTATCCACATACACAGTCTCATATCAGCAGTATATATACAATATACACTATTAAAACTGAAGTAATAACTATGACCCCAATGGCAAACATTTTGGGATGCTGTGTAGTGACTCTATTATCGAATAATTGCACTCTTCACCCTTTCCTTATGGCAGATAGGGCCAAGAGCTTTATAGAAACCTTATTTCTGCTGCTTATATTAGAAATCTCTTTATTTTGCCCAAAATGTCTCTGCATAAGTGAGTGTTGAGTCAGACTCAGGAATTCCAGAAATCACTGTCTGCGATAACAGTTTGCAATGGCATCAACAGATGTAGGTTAGAGGCCAAAAAATACAAAACCAATTTTTAGGTCCACAGTTTTGGGAAATGGTTGTTTCTCTGCCATTACTTGCCAGAATTTGTAGACTGTAAACTCCCTAGGCTGAATCTTCAGATGAAGTCTGCTATTCATCGCAAAAACTACAGGAAGTAACTTTCAGTGAGAGGCCTATTCTAGGCCTATATTCTCTTATTTGTTATATTAGTTAAAGTTATACCCGATTATACTCTGATCATTATTCAGCAATTAACCATAATTAACTATCAGCAAAATTACATATGAATTATGTTTCTGTGGTCACAAATTACAACACTTAATACCATTTCTCTTATTCGGAATTATGCATAATGATGGGTTGGTGACACATTTTTTGTCTTTCACATTCCTGCAACCACAAAGACACTAATCTGCCAAGGTTGAAGTTGGATCATGTCTAGGCACATAAAATCCAGATATGATAATAATTTCCATTACACAACTCTCATTTAATATATTAATGAGACTTTTACATTGGTTGATATCTTTGATTAACAACACAAATTATTTACTGTTAGCAAAAGCACAAATAGAGACCTTTTGCCTGCATTTCACCTGTATTTATGTATACATCTATCTGCCTAGCACTTTTACTTTGAATTTTTTTGTTCATTTAAGTGTTTGTTTTACAGTATGTTTCGCACTAAGTACCAAAGCAATTTCCTAATATTGTATACCTTCTCAACATTTGGCAATAAAACCCTTTCTGATTCTGATTCTTTTACCATCTCTCGGATGTAAAAGATGTATTTCCACCTCTTTTGACATAACATACACATACACAGTCAGTCGATCTCTAATCCAGTTCCTTCAAATAATAATTTACCTTGCAGGGGTGCAGGAAAGCACAGAACTCAGTATGAAACATTTAAGTGAAGTCATACGAATGTTGGTGAGGCGGATAGCTCTGATTGAAGTTACAACCTCTGCAGTCAGTCTGGGGTTCTGGAACTCATATAGAAGGACCAACAGATCCATCAGCTCTTCTGGTGGTTGTGGCTTGTTAAGCTCTAGTATCAAAAGAACACATACTACATGAAAATGTGCAATATGGGTTGCCATACACCAATTACAGACACAATTTCTATCTTTAGAGTTCATTTATCTCATATCACATAAATGTTTACAAGTGAATCTGAGTTTTATGTTCAGTTTCTTGTTTTCTAATACTTTTGTAAAGTTCTAACGATAAATATATGTTTTGTAACTGTTAAAGCTTTAGCAATTACAGAACATTACTCTGTAGGCAGATTAAGTACTTTGTTTCACAAGAGAACGTTTTTTTGTTGTTGTTGTTGTTGTTTTTTTTTACCTCTAACAAGGTATTTCCTAATGGAATGGGTGATCTGGGCCACAGTGGTGCTTTGAATGCTGCAGCCAAGTTGTTGGAGAAGCACACGGTTACCATAGTGCAATAGCCCACCCATGAAGATAGGGTACAGCTCAAAAGGTTGACGTTCACTGTACTGCTGTTGCTGTGGGCCATGGACTCCTACAAGGTTTTGCTCTACCTGGTCAAGGACATCCTCGTTGTAGCTATCCTCAGTGTGGAACAGCTCAGCTGCCATGGTTCTGGCTATACTGCCTTTGTTGAGACTGCTGATTTTCTCATAGAGCTTTGGAAAAAGCTTAAGAAGATTGAATACTGCAAAAATTCGGAGGGGAATTAACTTAGAAAAGATGTTAACAAGGGCATTGACATCCTCACTTGCCTGACCAATGGCCACAGATACTTTCTTGGTGAGCTTCTCAAGAGCGGATTTGTTCTCTCCTAGAACTACATAGAGTGCTGCCAGGTATTCTTGCATGGCTGGGACAGCAAACACATACTGCTTCTCATTGTTTTCCCTTAGGTCTTGTGATATAGATTTACCACTTTCTATGGAAGGAGCCAAAAAGAAGTCTAGTACATCGGTGCGGAACATGGCCAGCTGATGAAGCTCCTCATCTGTCTTTGTCTTCCCTCCTATCCACTGCTCTAGTTCTGCTTCTGAGAAGGATGTGCGTTTGTATGTCACACCTTCAAATGCAAGCTTACCTACTGTACGGACAACATATAACATCAGAGAACTTTGGTGTTCCTGAATGGGCATGTCCGTCCCTGCTCCTGTACCGAGCACTTCACCCCCAAAATTGAGCCTGAGGAAACTTGTGTATATGCCAGTTAGAGTGCGGATGGGGGCTTTGGTATTGGTAAAACGCAGAAAGTGTAAGGTTGCACAAGTGAGCCAGCAGTACGATGGAAGGAAACATGCAGCAGCAAGTTGGCTTTCTCTCTGGAGGTTGAGGTAAAGCAGTTCTACAAGATCCTGGGCCTCTTGGTTATGTGCAGTGTCACTCTGCTTTAGAAGGCGACTGGTGAAGTACGCCCGCTGGCGTGATGGGTCATTAAAACCACGTATCTGTGCGTAACGAGTAACATACTTCTGAGGGATACAGTTCAAAGCAGACAGTCTTGTCGTAATCAAGATGCTGGCCTGTGAAACATATAAAGTAAACAATAAGTGCCATTTACAAACAGTGGGACTTACAATCTAACAAACAAGGCTGAAAATTCATACTACACTTCAGTTCAATTAAATTTTATTTATACAGCGCCGAAATCACAATAGTTGCCTCAAGGCATTTGGAACGACAAAGCTATCTGGATCTAAATTATTCGTTATACTTTCTTAAGAACATGATGTATTTGAAGTGTTTTTAGTTTTTATTTTCAACGGGTTTAAAATCATAATCCTCTGCCTAATAATCCCGCGCTTCTATATTCCAGTACTAGACAGAAGTGATTAACTTTTTAAGTCAAAGTTGGACTTAAGGCCACGACTGGTCAAATTTTCCAATCCTAACTGTTTGATTAATCCAAACAGACACATGCCGCCAGTAACATAACATCTCAAGTATAGGTCATAAAGGTACCAAACGGATGAACAGTCAGGGTGCAGCCTCCGTGTCTACCTGTTCATGTTTCTAAAGTAGAATTACTCTGGTAATCGGTTTAAAGTCGCTTTGCGCTTGTTTTCATCTTTATTTTGTGTTCACACCTAAAAACTAAGAGAATGATCAAAGGATGTAAAACGTAGTAGAACAAATCTCTCCTGGGATTAACTAACGTACTGCATTAAAAACTGCATCTGTTCAGTGTAATATGTGTAATATTAAAAATAATACGATTTTTTTTAATTATTAGCATACTTTTCTAAACTCACTCTTTTGCTAAATGTTACTTTTATTCATTTTGCTTGTAGTTTTAAATAAAAGACAAGAACCTGGTCAGATTTGAAATGAAACAAAAACCTGGAGTGGGGGTACATATTAGCTTTAGCCATTTTTTGTTTAATCACTACCTTTAGTTAACCCCTTTTGGTTTTTTCTTACCTCAGGCAACAGATACTTTCTTAGCAGGTTTACCACAACTACACTTGGAGGCAGTCCCTCATTAGGATCACTGCAAAGCTCTGAGGCTCCAATTCGGAAATCCAGTTGCATCTTTTCCATTCCATTGAAAAGGAAGAGCACATCCTTGGCCTGTTTTCCCTCCCCACTTAGAAGGGGGTGTTTTTTCAGGTGTAGGTACTTCCTGCTCACCAGGTCTCTTAGAGACGTAACCCTGTGTAAAAGAGAATGTGAGTCTTTAGAATCATAAAATAACAATGTGACACTTTGGGTTGCCAAATTTATCAATCAAATGAAATTATAGAAGAATACAAAAAAAAAAGATTGATTTTGCAATATTTTCAGATTATTTTCGGAACTAGCACACTCCCAGTAACGCTGTTGGAAAATTTTAAAAAAGCATTCTTTTAATTCAAGGTCAGAGATGGTAAAGGCCAACATTTTGCTTCTTTTGCAGAAATGACTGCCTTCTCATAAAAGTTGACACTTGAAATCATGCAGCAAAACTGCTTTAACATGCAAGCACAATCATTCAGCTGATTTTGAAGTTGAATTTGTTGTTGAAGTTTATCTCAACATAGCGTTTACAGGCGGAAGAAACATTTTGCCACACATTATTTAGATGAAGTCCACCCACAAAGGCCTATCCAGCAGGCCTGGATGAAAAGGCATTTAGGCCAGGTCATCCACTAATTAGAAGGTTGTTGGACAATTGCTTCTGTTGAGCATTTCTGCAAAAATCACTAAGAATAGATTAGTGTAGTGTCTGTGATCATCTAGCCTGCTTCTGCTTGTAGTGCTCTGAGGTTTACTTTTTGTGGTTTTAAAAACCTGAATTCAACATAAGATGTTTAATGAGTTGTGCTGGCTTATTTCTATCCACGACTACACTGACATTATACTGTGAATGAATCTGAGCATTATCAGCTTAAATTCAAATTACTCTCTACCACAGTTGATTTAACTTAAGTCTTAACATAAACACTGCACTGTGCACCAGTCCAACACAGTGCTTCACTGTAAATCTGTTAGAGTACAGTAAGCCAACGTGTTTGTCCTGCACTAAACTGAAGAATATTTTCATTTAGCATATGAAAAACACAAAGTTAGTATAATTCAGTTCATTTTGCAGGACGTTTCTCAATATCAAAAAGCAAAACTTCAAATTATATTCAGATCCAATATCTAATTTAACAAATGAGAACTTACAGTTTATCTGGCAAACTGTAGATAAATGACCTTAACAGATATTTGTTAAGCTCATAGAAATTTTGCTTTTGGAATTTTTCTGCCACTTAAAAGTAAATGATACTTGTATATAGTTGTTCCTCTTCAGTAGGACCGACTTTCATGTGTTACTGTTGATTCGGGCAAATTACTTTAACGTTTGAACGCTCAGTGACATGAAATAATAGTCTAAACCCAGGGAAGAATTCAATTCAACTAAATTCACGTTTTGGACCTGAGTGCAAAGCTACGCACATTGGGGAGGTTATCATGAGAAAACGTGCTCCAGGCCCAGTAACATCAGCAGCTCCTGTACAACAGAGTAGGGCTGTTCGATATAACGATATATATCGGATAACGATATAAAAACGTCTATCGTTTCATTTTATGCTATCGTTTGTTTCGTGGTGTCGCAAAATAAACTGTTTACGGCAATATTTTTTCATCGTTTTGATGGTCACTGTAGTGGCTATATTCATTTCTCTTTCTCTTATATTTAATATAGCCACACTACGGACGGACAAGCGCCTGTTTTTATGCATTGTCGTTAGCAACAACGACGGTAAAACCATCGCGTGTCCGCTTGTTTATTTTCCACATAAACCTTTCACAATAAAGCTCAAGATCCTGTTAAGACTTTTCAAAATGAACTGAATCACGTGAACGAGCAGATTATTTACAGATGAGAAGTAAAAAGGAGCCACCAGGTGCTAAAAAATAAACCTTAGACTCAAACGTTAGAACAGGCTTTTCCCCACAGCACGCCGTGTAATAAATACAAAGAAAACGGCGGCCGTTACAACTTATGTCTAAAAATGTATAGTTTCATGCATCGGTTAAAACACTCGACTCCGGGTAAAGGACGCGCAGCTGGAAACACTTCAAAGCAAGTCGAGCTGCCCGAGATTCACAGAATTTACAGAAAATTTTACATTTTTGTGATTTATATCGTTATCGGGACGATAGATGTCTTATATGAGATTTTGGTCATATCACACAGCCCTATGTGGGATTGTGTGTGTGTGTGTGTGGGGGGGGTGTCAGAAATGACTGAAAGATTAATAGGCTCTGTTTTGAGTTTTGTTCAAAAAGGAATGACTTCATATAGGGAAAAATATATATCACATATGTAGGACACCTTAAACTAGTTTTTTAAATAAGCAGCAAGGCAGAACAAAGTCGGGGCTGCATCAAGACACAAGAACTAAACCCCAATTCAACCAGACCCAGAGCAGGATTTAACCAAGACAGAACCAGAATCAAAACTAGATGATAGTAGCACTAAAATCATCATAGACCTGCACTACACTTATTTTTTAATTCTACCAAAGTCCACTATTTAGATTCAGAAACATTTATATAATTATTTAGCCTTGTTGTGCAAACAATCCTGCATAACTTAATAAATATAGAATTTGAAAAATAACAAACCTAAAAAGAAACACTAGGTACGAGATACATGAGGACCTATGATATGGTGATACTTTTGGTAAACAACCATTTGACTAACATGTTCGGTGCGAACTGTGAGGAGGCGCTATCTAACCTCTGAAGTGGCTGCAAATTATACCAGGGTTTTAGATGAATGCCCCCCCTGTGATTTTACCTGAACCCTGCGATTTTATTTTTAATCATTTTAACAGCAAATTGAAGAAAAGCCTTGACTCCGTTGCTCCACTCACCACCAAAAAGAACATGCATCACCATGGAGAAACGAAGAAGTCAAAAAACTTAAGGGCAGCAGAGAGGAGATGGAGGAAAAATTAAAATGCAATCAACCATCAAATACTTTGCGAGCAACTTAAAATGTACAATAATACACTAAGGAATTCAAGAAATTCATACTTTTCCAAAATAATTAGTAATAACAAAAATAATCCCAATGTCCTCTTTTCTACCATAGATTATTTATTTAACCCAGGTTTTAACAGCTCCCAAAGAACCCCACAGACTCGCTCTGTGAGCAGTTTGCAGACCACTTCAGGGGAAAAATCAGCGCCATCAGATCTGATATTTTATCTTCTCGCAATATGATTTTAAACATATCTGAGGGCTCTATTGTATCTGAGGAGACACTGGACAGGTTTGTCGTGGTTAATGCTGAGAACCTTAAGAAAGTTCAAAGTGAGACCCACCACATGTCTTTTAGATCCAATCCCCTCTTTACTTTTTAAAACACTTTATGGATTTTTTGAAGTTGAGCTTGATGAATTGCTCTCTTCAGTTGGGTGTCTTCCCTGCTGCCTTTAAAACGGCAGTGGTGAGGCCCCTTCTGAAGAAGAGCAATTTGGATTGTAATGATTTTAATAACTACAGACCTGTATCCAACTTACCATTTTTAAGTCAAATTTTAGAAAAACTTGTTTTTATTCAGATTACTGATTTTCTAAATGATAGACAGATCCTGGAGATATTCCAGTCTGGATTTAGGGTGAACCACAGCACAGAGACTGCTCTCCTAAAGGTTTTAAATGATCTTAGATATAACTGGGACGCCCAAAAGCTCTCAGTCCTGGTGCTACTGGATCTAAGCGCAGCCTTTGATACAGTAGACCACGCTATTCTTTTAAACAGACTGAAACACATGGTGGGCCTCTCTGGTGCTGTACACAACTGGTTCACTTCCCATCTCTCAGACAGAACTTTTATGGTGAGTATGGATACATGCTCCTCTAAGATCCATAAAATGACTTGTGGTGTGCCCCGAGCGTCGGTTTTAGGCCCTGTACTTTTTAATTTGTATAAGCTCCCTCTTGGCGGTGTCATCAGGAGGCATGGAGTGAACTTCCACAGTTACGCTGATGATACTCAGCTGTACATCTCCGTGTCTCCTGATGACACCAGACCAATGGATGCCCTTTTTAACTGTATTCTAGATATAAAATCTTGGATGGCAGAAAACGTTTTACAGCTTAACCAGAACAAAACTGAAGTTTTAATCGTCGGTCCTGAGGCTCAGAGAGAGAAACTCTTGTCTAAATTACAGGCATTTTCACTATGTCCTTCGCTACAAGTGAAAAACCTGGGTGTTATTTTCGACTCTGAGCTTGGTTTTATCCCACATACTAAACATGTAACCAAAATTGGATTTTATCATCTAAAAAAATATAGCCAGAGTCCGCCCTACTCTCTCTCAGGCCAACATGGAGATGTTGATGCATGCTTTTATTACCAGTCGCATTGATTACTGTAATGCCCTGCTCTCTGGTCTTCCCAAAAAGAATATTTCTCCTTTACAACTTTTATAAAACTCTGCAACTCGTGTGCTGACGAAGACCAGAGGGTGGACCCACATTACACCGGTTTTAGAATCGCTGCATTGACTCCCCGTGTGTTTCAGGATCGATTTTAAAGTTCTTTTATTGGTTTTTAAATGTCTTAATGGTCTTGGGCCTTCTTATCTCTCAGATCTGCTTCTATCATATGAACCCTCGCAGACCCTGAGGTCCTCTGGTACTGGCGTTTTGATCGTTCCTAAAGTCAGGACACATACTCACGGAGAGGCAGCTTTTCAGTGGTATGGTCCTCGTCTGTGGAACAGCCTGCCGGAGGAGCTCAATGCCGCAGAGAACGTACATGTTTTTAAGAACAGGCTCAAGACCACCTTTTTAATTTAGCTTTTACTTAATGTTTATTTATTCGATGTTATCCTGTTATTCTATTTATATTATTAAATTAGGTCCTACATAATATTTATTGTATTTTATCTTTTTATTCTGTATATACTCTTATTAGGTCATATCTCCAGTGTTTCCTCGGAGGGGGCTCTCTGCACCGGGGTTGTGATCGACCGTGGCTGCTGCGGCTCTGTGGGTCTTCTCAGCCTGGCTGGGGGGCTTCTTTGCCTCCCTCCAGCTGTGTGCCCGGCCTGGAGGCTGCGGTCTGTGACCGGCTCCGCGTGATAGTGTTCCCTCACCTGGTTCATGTGTGCCCAGCCCAATTTTACTTTTCAAGTGTGTGTGTGTGTGTGTGTGTGTGTGTGTGTGGGGGGGGGGGGGGGGGGGGGGGTATGTATCCATGACCGCTTATGTTAATGAGAGTGTGGGGAGTGAATTGGAGGGCGGGATGGGGTGGGGTAGGCTGCTTTTAACTAGAGATGGCACGATACCACTTTTGTTATGTCCGATACCGATACCGATATCATAAATTTGGATATCTGCCGATACTGATATGAATCCGATATAGTGTTTTTTAATCAACAAAACTGTTTTTTAAATATCTTGCTGCATTTTATATAAGTTCATACTCAAGTTTAAAACAACAACTACACTAAATGCTATTCTGTTATACCTGTATGCAAAAAAAAAAAATTTCATAGTTCAGCAATACTGATCAATCTAATAAACTTAAACCTACACCATCCTCCCTATTCTGGTATTTTAAAGAGTACTTAGCATAAATATTAAGCAACCTAACTAATAGGGTTCCAACTCCGAGCAACAACAAAAATAAATAAATAAAAAATAGGGAACCACCCCTCACGCTCCACCTCATGATGCTTAATCGACGTAATCAACCTTAATTTGATGCAGTGTGAAAAAAAATGCACAGAAATCAATTATTTTTCAAGAAATATTAAATAGATTCAACATCTTTCTTCAACAAAATTGCAGACTGCACAGATGGTACCTTCCCAAAGGAAAAAGTACTATAGCTTACTAGGGTATATATATTAGACTTAATAGTTACTATATACAGTAATGGACTTCTATTCATTTTGCATCAAATTAAAACTTTGGGTGTCAGATAATTATTTATTAAAAGCTAGACATTTTAAATGAGAATAAGAAAGAAAAGTATGTCTTTGTGCCCCCTTTTCCCTGTTCATGCCCTATCGGCCCCCCTGGCTAAACTTTGCTAGATCCGCCTCTGCACAGTTACCAGCCGTCAGCTACGTAGAAAAAGATCCTGGAGTAGAAAGTAATATTAAATACATTCTAACAATAGCTGATCAAGCTTAAACGTGCTGCTGTTGTTCAGCTGCTGGTTTCCTCTTTCTGGTGCAAAGTGGGCCAAAAACAAAGAAGAGACACAGACTCGCGACAGAAAAGCCGATCAGCTGATCGTTAAGCAGTTTCATGATTGAAGTAGCAGCAAGAAGAGGCAGTCGCTCCATATATTGCTTGTTAAGCTTAACGCAGGAATGCTTTACAAACATTCAGAGATGGACTTACACACTTGCTTTACTTCTCTCGGGGATAACTTTGTCGGAGATGAAATGCCGGGTTGCTAGCGAAGCTCCACATGCTATCCAGACCACCGACAGGTCCCGCATGCCACAGCCGCTCTATCACGTGATGCATACTGCTCCAACGTGCTAACGTTCTGAGGCGAGTTACGGCGTGTTGCAAGTTTTGTGAGGTGCTTTCGTGATATTTAATGGATCGGATTACATTTTTTATTTTTCTCCGATATCCGATCCAGTAATTTAGGTCAGTATCGGACCGATACCGATACGTAATATCGGATCGGTCCATCTCTACTTTTAACCATGTAAAGCACTTTGTGCTACATTTCTGTATGAAAAGTGCTTTATAAATAAAGATTGATTGATTGATGTCTGTCTCACCTGCTCTTGTTCCCTCTCTGTTCTGTCCTCATTCTCCTCTCTCTCTCCCTCTCTGTTCCTCTCTCTCCCTCTCTGTTCCTCTCTCTCTCCCTGCTCCTCTCTCTCCCTCTCTGTTCCTCTCTCTCTCTTTGTGCTGACAATCAAACCAAACACCAACATCATCAAATATACAGTTGAAACCAGATATTTAAACACTCTTCAGATAAAAACACTTTTTTAATTGTAACATCAAATCAGACTAAATGTTTATTTTTTTTTAGATTGATAAATATAAAAAACATATTTGTTAACTTTAAGAGTAAAGAGAGAAACTATCTGTATTTCTTAATTGCAAATATCACCAAATTGTATTCCAAATGGAGCCACACACATTCTTTTCCTGGTGTTTTGGTTGACATCTCTTGATTTTCCCATGTCACAGAAACAGGCTCTGTGTTTTGCCTTATATGCATCTGCAGGTGTGCCACCAATTTACTCACATGGACTCTACTAACCTATCAGAAGCTTCTTCAGCTCAGAATGGAATCGTCTGCAGTTTTCTTATTAATTAACAATAAACTTAGTGTATATGTACTCCTAAATTTGATGAAAGTGATAAAAAATAGAAGCTCTGTCTCTCTTTATTCTGACATTTAATTAATTCAAAAGATATTTCAATATGTATTTGCCCAAAACAAAACAAGTTTAATCTAAATTGATGTTGTACAGTAAAAAAATGTTCTTGTGTTTTGCTTGTTTTGCATAGGAATATACTGAACAAAATACAAAGCATAATGTATAAAATAACATCTACCAGAGTTTTTTCTTTGAAAGAAGCCCCTTATGTCCATTCTTGTATATCAGTACATTACTGAAACCGATTTATTTAGCCGTGGAGGGTAACAACTGAAAATATGAAATAAACACACATGTGAGCTAAGACTCTCTAAAGAAACAGCATTGTTGTTGTTCGGCTTTTCATTTCGCCATTTGTTGATTCACTTGAAGAGAAGTAACGTAATATGGGTCAAGTGATCAGTTTGACATCAATCTTTTGTGATACACCGTCATATTTACATTATTTGTACAGTACGAATGATTTGCTTTGGTACCTGGTCGAACTTCCGCTCTCCTTTCTCTGCCTGGCTCCGTTTCTCCAACAGGTAGCAGCTGCCCCGCCCTCGCTCAGTCGCTTAGTGCCTGAGCTCGGATCATACCAAAATTAGGGGGCATTTATGCTCAGTCCTAAATGCCCACAGTGTGCGCTATGTGCTTCAAATATTGTGTGTAGTTTTTGTTTTATACAGTTGTCAGTCAGGCATCCAACTATGAAAAAAATTACACTCCTAAAGACCCCGGGCTTCTGACAAAACAACCCGGGCTTAAGCCCAGTAAGCCCCCCCCCGCTCCGCCAATGATGACAACCCGTTTAATATTATCTTAGGTAATACAAGAAAAAAATAAAAACAAAAAGGATTCTTGAGGTCGTGCTATGCTTGCTGTGACTTGGTATTTACTGATTAAATAGTAGCAGAAGGTAGGCTAACACTTATATATCTTGGAAAACCAAAATGCATTTGGCACAGTGCATTCAGATCATAATTCTGATTGCAAAAGCTGCCAGACAGGACAGAATGAAAAAAATATATATAAATGAAAATGTACTTACATTCCTTATAAAGTGTTCAGTGTTGTGAACTACTTCATCTGCTAGCAAGGGTATGAGCTGTGTGGCTGCATCTCTCATACAGACGGTCTGTATTTAATCTCATAGTAATTTGTAATATGCATCAGTATACAGGTATCAATTTTACTGACAACCCTAGTAATTGTACTATGTTTGTTGTAATTTTGATCTCCTGAAGTCAATGTGTATGTGTGCGTGTGTACAGGAGTGTGGAGGATAATTCAGAATAATGCACGAGGGTTAACAAAGAAACAATTTGGTGGTTATTTGTTAGCCTGCTATGAATGCAATCTTTGCAACAACTTTAAATGAGTCTAAAACCATAAATTTGCTGATGCTGGCTTGTCCCAAATATGATTACATGGAAAGCTAATAGTGGATAGAGAACTACCTTTTTCCTGCTGAGTTCTCCTGCACTTTAACTGAAAGGCGATTAAGGCAGAGTTAAAAGCATTCATAATGTTAAACTAAATAAAAGAAAATAGATGTAATGTGCAAACTAAAACACTGTTTGTCAGAGATTTAAAATGTATATTAGGACCTAAGAAAATAAAAATGATAAGTATAACAACCAGTACATTAAATCCCAATCAATAAAGTTGTGCCTCTATAAATTTTCTACATGTGATAAAAAGTAAGAGAACCATCTTACTTTGACAGTTGACTGAGGTCCTCACAAGAGAAAGGAATCAGCAGCTGAAAGTGGCTCAGAGTGGTGCCAGCACACCAATCTAGCACCAGCTTTCGGACCACTGTACTTTTCCCTGTTCCCACAGCACCATAGATGAGGACATTGAGCCCCCGGCCATCACTCCAGGTATCAGTGTGCTGAAACAGCTGTTCCACAGTTACAGAGCGATTACAGTGTGTTTGGGTTTGGAATGGAGAGCCGAGTAGTCCTGCCCTCTCCTCAGCATCAGTTTCAAGGATCAGTGGGTCGACATGCATGGTCTCAGGGCTGAAGAAACCTCCAAACTGTTTTTCCTCCTGAGGAAGGTGGCTAAACCATAGGAGGAGCTTTCTCTTGTGGATCTCTATTGGGTCTATAGAGAGAAAGAAAAAGAAGGTGTTTTTATTCTTTAAGTGGTGGATTTTCTCAGATGTGATGAAACCTTATTAAAGTGGTAATGCAATAATTAATTTAATACAATGATCAAATTGAATCTGTTTTATCCTGATGTACAGTGCTGTGAAAAAGTCTTTTCCTCCTTCCTTTTTGGACTCTGACCTTGAGTTTGAGATCACTGAGATCCACACTACTCAAATGTTTTAGTATACACAGTACTGTGCAAAAGTTTAAAGCAGGCGTGAAAAAATGCTGTAAACAATGAATGCTTTCAGAAATATAAATGATTGTTTATTCGCCCCAAATGTATTCTTGTAGCAGGACAATGACCCCAAACATACAGCCAAAGTCATTAAGAGCTATCTTCAGTGTGAAGAAGAACAAAAAGTACTGGAAGTGATGGTATGGCCCCCACAGAGCCCTGATCTCAACATCATTGAGTGTGTCTGGGATTACATGGAGAGACAGAAAGGTGCGAGGAAACATCCACAGAAGATCTGTGCTTAGTTTTCCAAGATGTTTGGAACAACCTACCAGCCGAGTTCCTTCAAAAACTGTTTGCAAGTGTACCTAGAAGAATTGATGCTGTTTTGAAGGCAAAGGGTGGTCACACCAAATCTTGATTTGATTTCAATTTCGCTTTTGTACATTCACTGCATTTTGTTGATTAGTCAAAGTCAAATTACACTTTATTGTCATCTCCGCTATATACAGTACAGTATATAGAGAGACGAGATGACAAGGCTCCAGGTGCATCAGTGTAAAAACAAACAAATATAACAAGAGTAGAAAATAAATATACAATTCAGGACTAGGGGCAAAGGGATCAGTAACAATTTATTTGAAATTTACAATTTACAGTTTGACGCTTAAGGTCACCTTGAAGTGATTTAAAGTGACCAGTGTAGCAACTTGTAAACATGAGCAGAATTCTTGAGAGTAATGACTGTCCATAAGCAGCATCTGCATTACAAAGGCAGTGTACGGGGAGTGCAATAGAGTCAGTTAACTGTTTGTTTGTTTGTTTGTTTGTTTGTTTGTTTGTTTGTTTGTTTGTTTGTTTGTTTGTTTGTTTGTTTGTTTGTTTGTGTGTGTGTGGTGGGAGAGCCGGTAGTGAGATTGATGGCTTGCGGGAAAAAGCTATTTCGCAGTCTGGAGGATCGGGACCCGATGCTGTGAAAGCGTCTGCTGGATGGAAGCATCGGCACTTTTGATTAACACTTTCATTTTTGAAAGCATTCTTTGTTTACAGCATTTTTTCTCACCAGCCTAAAACTTTTGCACAGTGCTAGGGTATCCATTTGAAACTCCACCCGAGTTATTGTATTCATAAACTTGGGTGTTCATGTCGCCCTCCCACCCAGTAGGGTAACAAGAACACCCCAGTCTATTACGGCTAAGTGATGTACAACAACAATGTACAATGTAAAACAACTTTGTAAAAAATGAAAGGGCAAAAGGCCCATATTGCAGGCCTTATTTTGTAACAAGGAAATACCATCATTGTACTGTTCTACAAAGTACTGTGACATTACTACCAAACAATTGACTGATATTGCATTTAAGAGACAATAACTGAGAAAATGAACTGAAGTGTGGACCTGGTTCTAAAGAGTTTGAGGTAGTAAACTTCCTGCAGTAAAAACCAGAGACTGGCCAGGGTGCAGCCTCCATTCCCATCTGCCACATCCTCCATGTTTTGAGTAGATGACTCATCTGTCTGGAAAAAATAATGCATCATGCCAATTAGTTCAGCTGTTGCTTACAACCTTAATAAAATACAAATGCACAGAGAACAACATTTCAAGCACAACTTGCTTTCATTACTTTGCTGCTTACTTAATCTGATAATCACGCTAAGGAATAACATGTAGGAACAAGCTGTTGTTTGCATATTGCAGCAGATATAAGTTATTACACCTCCAAAGCACTGACTTTTACGCAACTGCACACAATTAATATAAACACAAATGAAACCTGTCTACTTTTGCTCTGAGAAACTTCCTGCAAGGTTCCTAAGAATTCTGTTGGGTCTTTATTACAAACAAAGAAAACAATGGAAATATGAACCAGTTTAAATGAATGACACCAGTCGTCGTTTACAAAAAAGTGAAATTCATAAAACGATTAACAGCATATTAATATTATTCTGCATAATACTTTGCATTTGCATTAACATTTGCCACAAGTAGATGGTGGTTCTTTACTACATCCCATTGTGGAAAATAGTCACATCAACTATTGTATGGACAATGTCTCTACACAGCCTAACATACCTCAATTTCTTGCACATTTTTCACACACTCAACAGAAACATTGAGCAAAGCCTGTTTCTATGAGTGCTGACATAAAGATGAAACTAACTTTCCAGTGACTACACATGTAGTCACTGGTCCTAAGTTATGACATGTCCTAGCAGTTTACACACCTTCCACTACTTATTTAACAAGCCGAAATGCAGAAGCAGTGTGTAAATCAGTAAGTACATAAGTACACTCCATGATTCAGTAGCTTGTTGATCCTCTTTTGGCAACACGCACGCATGCACACACACACATACACACACACACACACACAGCGTGAGGTGCCGTTTGATCGGTGATATTGCACACTGACTAAGGGGGGTGCTGTTGCTACTATAATAAATACAGTTATAATAAATACAGTTTATAGAAGTAGTCAAAGGAGCTTGCAAAGAAAAGCTTCTGGACTTCTTTAAGTTACTTGAAGACATTTCACCTCTCATCCGAGAAGCTTCTTCAGTTCTAAGGTCAAATGGTGGGGAGTCCCAGATTATCTGGGACATGCAGACTGGGCAGACTGGGAATGGACGACCAACCTTCCGGTTAGTAAGTGACCTGTTCTAAATTGACTGTACTGTTACATTTAGCAGTGAATCCAAATGACAGTGAGTCTCATTCCCTCGCTCTGAAACTCCCACTATCGCCATATTTTTCCCTATATGGTAGCATATAAAAAGACATAGTATATAAACAGTGTGCTGGGTAGAAAAATTTTCCAGTTGGGAGGGTGGAATTAATGATGCATTTGCGCTGTGTGGGAGAAAAATAACTCACAGTGAATTATCTGCAGGACAGCTTAAGATATGCCCTTTTAACCGTCGTACATGGAAATATATCGAGTATATTCGATATATCGTACATCCCCACTACTATGCCAGGGCCTTTAAGTCACTAGGCATCAAGGTTCAGTTAATCACCAACCTGTGGGGGAGGAGATTCATCCTTTTCTGCTGCTTCTTTGTCTCGGGAAGTTTTCTGTTAACAGTTAAAGCATAAAGTCACACAACTGATGCAAAAACAATCTTACATCTGCATACATCTGCATGCATTTGTTTTCTTAAGACTCAAGACGTTTATTGTCATTTCGTATGGTGTTACCCAGCCTGAAACGAAATACTGTTTCTCACCAAATTCCACAAGATGTCTTTATTTAACACGTCACCAGCCCCCTTTGTGATAGCCTTCATATTTATTTAGACATATTTTGGTATTTCTAAGAATATAATAACTCTGCTTAGACTACATATAGCGTCTGCGTCTCTTCTGCAAATGCCACTGTCTCATAGCTAACAATCATGCAAACTACACATAAAATAAAATAAGACATACCACCGTCTTATCGTTCGTCTCCCGACCACACGTTGTCCAGGAAAGTAGCTTAACGCATGCAGTATGCCGTTTCCTTTTAGGTTTTCAAATTTTCAAATTTGTCCAGTACCATTAAGGACTTGACACACAGAAACATATGTATCACACCGACTGTCATTCTTCCGCTTCACCGTCGATGAGTTTCATGTTTCAACTTCCGGTAGTGCTGACGACAAGCAGTCCAAAACGTAACTCTTATCCACCTTTCCATAACCTCGATCGAAAACATCAAGGAAGATCAAGGTCGAGGAAATGTGTGTCGGAAAAATCACGAAGGCTAAGAAGTGCAACGTAATAAAAATCTGACCAACTAAAGTACGCAATTTCCCTATTTGCTAGTTTATACTTAGTAAGTTCACTCGGGAGTCTAGACTTCCATGGGAGGACGCGGGCGTGATGACATCACAGCTCAGCTCCAGCGATTTATTGGAGTGGCTGGAGTTACAATGGAAACACGGGTAACTACTAGAAGTATTTAAAAACATTCATAGATAGATAGCTATTTCTCTATATATCTTGTCTTTAGAAAACCTCCTTGCCATTATTCATATTCATGACCATTATTAGTTGTCTTCTAACATTAAAAAAAATCTTTCACTATGTCAACAGGCTTCATACAGTTGAGCAAATCACTAAGTGATTAAAGCACTAACTTTATTTCTCTTAATGAAAACATGCATGTTCAATCATCCAGGTAAGCAAAACCCAAAAAATTAAGTCTAAATTTTAATTCTAATGAAGTCATTTAGCTTCAATCAATTATATAGAACAGGAGTAGTGAAAAATAAGGAGAAAAAAGGGCTTTGTTTTCTGTTGCCTATATTGTAGATGCTGACTTTGCCTCCTAATTGAAACAGCAAATGAGTACGGTCAGGGGTTACAATGGGATTCAGGAGGTGGAGAAACCCTAAAATTGGTTGTATTGGTTGGCTAAGCATGGGGAAAAGAACGCCAGCTGACAAGAATTTCTATTTTGAGCTCCAGTAGGTTTCCTTTTTGTACAGGCTGTGATCAACTGATTTGTGCTGCTGCTGTTCATTGTGGACTTGGATGTCTGAATTTAAAGAGGTGTAAGAAGATGTTTCATGAGCTGTCTTGGCTGATTTCCCTCCCCTACACTGACACTACACTGTTGCTGTCTTTATACTAGACATATAAAGTTGGTATGAAGGTGGAATTGAGTGAATGGATCTAAGCATCATCAAATCAATCTTTGATACCCTTTTTGCAACAAGAACAACAGGAACACTATAGCTGCTGCTGTACACCAACCCAGCACACTATTCTTTACTTTAAATCCATCACAACAACCTAACCTGTTTATAAAATCATGTTCAAACTGAACATGATTTTCAAAATATGAAAAAACATAACTAAACTTCATAGTCAGATCCAATATCTGATTTAAAAATGAGAACTTACAAACTTTAAATTTCCAGTTTATTAATTACCACTGAGCAGTCCTTCCTTTAAATATTACCACTTCTCTCCTCTTCCATCTTTCTCCATCTCTGAGTGAAGTTATCTTGTACTCTTTTTCTCTCTCTAGGAAGCAGCTCTACCCGAGCTAGCAAACGCAGAGTGTGACAAACTGCGCAAAAACAGTTTGTGTGTTTGCTGATATTTGCTAAACTGATAGAACCATTGCATTTGAAATTATTTGTCATTTAAAAAAAGGTTACTCCGCTTATGCTCCTTCTGTGGGGCTAGGTAGAAGCTGAAATACTGCAACTACAGATTATGAGCATCTAATTAACACTCATAACATGAGTAGTAATTAGGCCGACACTGAACATGGATTATTTTAGGGGCTTGTTCATACCCATATGAACAAGTATGTCTGCCTCTGAGGAGAAAACAAAACAAAAAACTGACCACAATAATTAGTGGTGACCCAGGAGAAGAAAAAGGTCCCAAATTTGTATTTATTTATTTATTTATTGTCAACTGGTAACGTATGTGAAACATTGGGACAAACCATCTATACTCAGGTTGCCTAGCAAACATGACACTAATGGCGAGGAACATTTACATCATTGTGCTTCACTGTTTGACAGAACTGAAGGTGAAAATATTAATATAAATAATTTTTCTTATTTTTACTAAGATATTTTTCAGTTATTATTTTATTTTCAGTTGTTACATACAGGACAGACATGACTGGGTGTAAATACTATGTGTAAATACTAAATATTGACTATTATTGTGCAACATGTAAGATCGACAGCGCACAGTGTGCTTTGAGGTAGCAGCCCAAAAGAGTGTAGCTTGTATCTGTGAGCACCCGTGTGTACACCTGTGCTTGTATTCAAAAGGTTCCTTCATGTAATGATCTTCTAGGGGGTGTGGGGAGCCATAGCCCCGTCCCCAGGGCATGAAGCAGGTGTGGAGGAGATCCAAGCTCCAGACATCCAGAGACCCCCAGAGCGCAAGAGTCCAATGTGTGTGTGTGTGTGTGTATATATATATATATATATATATATATATATATATATATATATGTGTATATATATGTGTATATATATGTGTGTGTGTGTGTGTATATGTGTATATATATGTGTATATGTATTTGGGCTAAGAGTCTCTAACCAAAAATATAAGTGTAGCAAACTCAATGTTTACAAGGCAACAAATGAAAAGTAAATTTTCCATATAGTGACATCATTAAATTCTAAGAAACTAAATCGCTGTGATGGCATTGACATGAATTTAATCAAAAACATAATCAAATGTACTGTGAAACGATTTACCTACTTTTGAAATCTGTCATTACATAATGACTTATTTCCTTGTGAGATGTAGATTGCAAGGGTTGAGCCACATGAAGCTGGAGATAAACATCTCACAAACCAAAGGTCCATCTCTCTACTTCCACAGTCTAAGATACTGCTAGATTGTATCACTAAACTAAAGCCCTGGTTTGACTACAGTAAATTAACACTGAATTTCAGTAAAACAAAATTCATAATATTCAGGAATCTTACAAATTCTATTGCTAGGAAACTGATGATAAATAACATAGAGTTAGAAAAAGTAGCTGAAATAAAATTGTTGGGGGGTGATAATACATCACAACCTGGATACCCCACATTGTCACAGTCCCTCTGTTCTTACCAGTTGACTAGCCGCTCTGTCTTTGCTCTGTTTTGTGGGTGTATTCTGGTTTTAGTGCAGAAGCAGGACTCTCTGGTTTTTCCACACACCTGATTTAGTCATGTACCTGTTCCTGATGTCCTCATTGTGACCTCTTTTTTAAAGGAGTGGCAACTCTTCAGTCCTCCCTGGGTTGTTTTTTTTTTCAATCCAGTGCAATCCAGTTCCAAGCCTTGAGTTAATGTTTTCACCTACCTGTGAGAGAGATATCTGAGTTTTCCCTGTGCTCAGGTTTGCCTGGAGAATCCCCTGTCACAGAGTGGTGAGCAGTCTTTATTTGGATTTGAGACAGACTCTGGGAATTTAACTACTACTCTGATCATTTTAAAATTGTTATTATTCATCATAAACAAAAGCACTCTGACATGGAACCCTGCATGTGAGTCCTACCTGTGCCCAGTTCTTGACATACATTACTTAACAAATGAAATACTGTCTGGAAATGTGTCAAAACACCTATAATACACACACCCATCCAATATATTGTCATGGTCCTAGATCGTTGAACCAGTATTTTGAGTGGGGGTGACCGTGGCTTAGGGGGTTGGGAAGCGTATCTGTAACCGGAAGGTCGGTTGGTTCGATCCCCTTGCTCTCTGGCCTTGGGCAAGACACTTCACCAAGACACACACCATCGGCCAGAATGGCAGTCTGTCAGTCTTCCCCAGGACAGCTGTGGCTACAACTGTAGCTACCTCCACCAGTGTGTGAATGCGAGAGTGAATGAATAGTGGAATTGTAAAGCGCTTTGGGTGCCTTGAAAAGCGCTGTATAAATCCAATCCATTATTATTTGTGTTTTGAATGCTGGGTTTCTGGGTTGGTGCTCCCTCTGTTGGTCCCTGGTATTAGTGTTCCCCTGTCTCGTCAGGCTAATCAGGTCCAGCTGTGTCTCCCACCTGTGTGTGCCTGTGTTCCTTGTCGCGTCGTCTGTATTCATCCTCTGTGTTTCTCCGTGAATCTTCTGTGTACTCAGCATTATTTTGTGTTTCACCGTGTCTCTCTGCTCCTCGCCCCGTGTCCTCCTTTTGTGTTAGTTTTCCCAGTTTAGGTTTATGTTCAGTTCTGCACGCACCTTGGTTATTATTCACCGTAAATAAAACTCACTTGCACCTCCGCCACTGTCATCCCGGAGTTTGGCACTTCAGCGCTCCTGGCTGTGGTGAGTATACAGGAAACTGATCGTGTTATTTCTGACTTTGTACTCTGGGGCTGAGTGTTTCGTGACAGGGGATGGCACTCCCAGTGATTTCCCCACTTTACCTGCTCCATGTCTGTCAGTACAACCTGTTCAGCCATCAATTCAGTTAGCTGCTCAGCAGCCATTAGCTCAGTCAGCCTCTCAGCCACCATCACAACTAGCATCATTACAACCTCTATGGCAGTCCATAGAGCAGTCAGTAGCACAGTTAATTGCTCAGTCACAGTCGTCGCTTGCCCCTCTTCAGGAGGCTGTGCCTACCCCGCCCATTTTGGACTGTTTTTCTAGTGCTCACCTTGAGCAGAGAGACAAACATATTAATACTGACATATTTCCTCATGAACTGGCTAGTTTTCAGACTGTTACTTGCTCCAGGGCCTCCCCAGAGGCTGAATTGCAGCCCTCACCTGACTCTGGACCCCTGGAGGCTAAGAAGCCAGTTGAGGACTGCACCCGGCTGTCGCTGCCTGAGCAGGGTCAGTGCTCCGCGCAACTGCAGTCTTCCTTATGTGTGCCAGGGGCCCACGTGCCTACTGGTTTTGCTCTGTGTGTGCCAGAGACCCACAAGCCTGCTGGTTTTGTTTCGTGTGTACCAGAGGCCCACGTGCCTGCTGGTTCTGTGACTGTTTTCTCTGAGGGGTCCAAGGAACTGCCTCAGCCTGCTGCTTTTGCTGGGGGGGCCGAGGAGCCCGTCCAGCCACCACCTGCGGCTCCCACGCTGTTGCCTGCAGCGCCACCACCGGCGGCTCGCACGCCTGGTCCAGCCTCCGTACCTTCATCCTCGTCTGGTCCAGCCTCCGCGCCTTCATCCACATCCACGCCTGCAGCGTCAGCCTCATCGCCGCCTGCAGCGCATGTGGTGGCTGGACAGGCTCCTCAATCCCCCCCAGCCTGCAGCGTCAGCCTCATCCACGCCTGCAGCCTCATCCACAGCGTCAGCATCAGCCTCATCCCTCACAGGTGTACACACGGGTGCTCACACACACAAACTACACCCTTTTTAGCTCCTACCTTAAAGCACACTGTGCGCTGTCGATCTTACGTGCTGCACAATAATGTTTAACACTTAGTATTTACTGTTATATTCCCATAGATCAGCATGATGTTGTTTATCCCTTGTTAAATGCTTGTTTTCTTTTTTCTTTCTCAACAGGTGATCCAGGTGATTGATATATGTATTTTTGTCTGCTTATTTTGTTGGTTTTTGTTTTTTGCCCTTTATCCCCGTCCCTCTTCTCTGCTGTTTTTTTTCCCTCTTTCTTTCTCCCTTTTCTTTTCCTCATTCAAGTCTGTCCCGTATCTAGCAAATGAAAATAAAAAATAAAATAAACAATAAAAGGTGAATCAAATAGACCATTACGGCAAGGCTGGGATGGTCCATTTGGTAAAGTAAATCCGTTGGGCATCTTTCTTTGCCTTTAGACAATAATTCTGATGGCAAAAGAGCCAAACGGGACAGGCAAAAAAAAAAAGAGAGAAAAAGCAAGAAAAAGAAAGAAAAATCACCCTCATCCACATCATCCTCGCCTGCAGCAGCATCATCATCAGCATCTTCCTCGCCGGAAGCAGCAGCATCAGCAGCATCATCATCAGCATCTTCCTCGCCGGAAGCAGCAGCATCAGCAGCATCATCATCAGCATCTTCCTCGCCGGAAGCAGCATCATCATCAGCATCATCCTCTCCGGCAGCAGTATCATCATCAGCGTCATCCCCGCCTGCAGCTTCAGCGTCAACTTCGGCCTCGTCTGCAGCTTCACCTGGTTCGGCTTCAGCCTCAGATGCAGCTTCAGCCTCATCCTCCTCCTCATCCTCGCCTGGTACTGCCGCTGGCATGCCGCCATCCGGTCCGTGCCTTCCGCGTGGCCGGCCTCCGGACTTCTGTTGCCGCCACCGCCTTCCGCGTGGCCGGCCTCCTAAACTGTTTGCGTGCCGCCACCGCCTCCCGCGTGGCTGGCCTCCTGAACTGTTTGGGCGCCACCATGACTTCTTCACGGCTGGCCCTCTGAACTGTCTCATCCTGGCCTTCTGTGCTATCGGCCCCCAAGCCGGCCACCTGAGTGTATGTTGTGGACGTTTTGTTTGGGACTCTGGGGCCTCCGTTTTTGGTCCTGGTCTTGCACCAGTCTGCTATTTGGATCCTCCTTCTCACCTCCGCACGACTGCTGCCCCAGTCGCGACATATATATTCTGGAAAAAAGAGCAATAGGAATCAGAAATCCCCTTCAAGTAAACCATTAAATCACCTTTTTATTAAACTAAACATTCTTATATTTAAATACTCATTTTACCTCAGAACTGTACAAATAATTTTTTTTTTAAAAAGCAAACAAATGCCCCACAATATTCATAACTTGTTCAACAAGACCAAATCATCAGGACCTGTGAGGTATCCCTATGTTTAGCAAGCTGATAGTAAGGACTAATAAAATATATCATAGCATTACAGCCACTGGAACTAGTGTAACAATTGTGCAGATGAAGTTAAGAAAAAGTACATCAACACATAACTTTGCAAATTTGTGAACAATAAATTGCATGACTAGAGGAAAGGTTTCTGTCCGTGATTGGTGCAGTCTCTTTGTATTCTAATGATGCATTGTCTTTAGTGTTGTTAATCAAGGTGAGAGTAACACAAGTTCAAAGTATTATGTAGTATTATGTATTTGTCACATAGGTATGATTCCATATAAAACATTAACCAAACATAACTAAGTTTAATAACAAATATAAACAGATTATTTTCACAAGTCACAGTTGGCAATGTGCCCCCGTCGAGACGGCGCATTAGCCCAGGGCACCAAACAGGCTAGGACCGCCTCTGGTGGGCAGCGACGTAGAGAAGACTGTACAAAGGCTCCCCCAGAAGTCTAGATCAGACATAACGGGAAACTGTTCACCTAACGTTGCCCACGCACTTAAACAATAAAGCGGCTTTCCCGGATATTAGCGTCTTCTGAATTACTTCAGTTTAAACCAGCATAATTTTGAGTTGTCTCCTTGTGTTTGCTAAAGCAAGACATAGCAGCCAGCCTAGACATTTGCTAGCATTCATTTAGGGAGCGAGTAATCGGCTCATTTTGCAAACATGTACAAACGCAGAAAAAATTATTCTGAAGTTCAACCGGAAACACTTTTGTGTATCTCGTTAACGGGTGCACGCACTTTAACGGTGGTAGCACTCGCGCTCCATCCTCTCTGACAGCCTCACAAAGTAGGGTTCCATCCTCGTCATGGCATCTGAAGAGCTCGCACGAAAGCTGCAATCGCGGCTTTCTGCTACACAGGAGGCCGTACCGAGGCCCGAGCCCGAACAGAGCCCTGTCCGACCCAAACCGCAGGGGTCAGATGCTGCCTGTGGAGATTCATCATCCGAGCTATCCGCCAAACTGACGCGTAGGCTGGACATCAACGAGGGCAACGCTGCACCACGAGCGACCCGGGTCTTCAACCCTTACACCGAGTTCAAAGAGTTCTCCCGCAAGCAGATTAAGGATATGGAGGGAATGTTCAAGCGGTAAGACTGCACCAATTGTTTGTTTTGTCTCTTTAAACATGGCAGTCACGGCTGTTGTTCTCAGTCGCAGAGAATGGGGGCGAACGAGCGTGCACGGCTGGATCATGAGATTAGCCAAGGTGCAGGCTGGCTGTCATCGTGTCGACTGATTTAGCGCCTCTGTGCAAACACTCTGCACGTTAAACCGGTGTCTTTGTAGTGATGTATCGTGCTCAGATGGAGGACTTCTTAAGGTCAGTGCCGCTCCCTCGGGAGACGACACACTGACGCCGAACATCTCCAAAGATGACATAAATAAACAATGCGCTTTAGGCACAAACACAGTATGCCAGAAAAATTAACGCAATGGAGCTAAAAGCCCGAATTAGACAAAATGACAGGGGATCATTTAGTGTGTGGACCCTTCGGATTTTTTGACATCTTAAAATGACACAGATGGCTCGCTGTGTGTTATCATCCTGTATAATTTAACTCCTATTAAAAAACGTATTTTACCTGTTTTTATGAATCTAGCCTGGCCTACCCCTAGCCTGGGGGTGGATTCGGTTGTTTCTCCCCGCTTTCTTTGGGTTACTTTATTAATTTGTGCCCTGATAATCATATAGGGCAGCACCTAAAATTGGTGTAACTGTCTCATTCTTCTTCAATAACAAATTATCAAAGTATATTAAATAAACTAAAGGTTCGTGCAGTATTGTCTGTAGAGTCTTGTTTATTTTATATTAAAAATGCGATTCATTCTGCTCATGCTACTTTTCTCCTTTGTTCCCCATAGATGGCAAATGACAATAATTGTCACCTATTAGTTTGTAAACTGTTGTTCTAAAGTTTAGAAGTTGGTATTTCTGCAGTGTCATTATGTTTTGAAAACAATAAAGGAGTGGATCTGTCTATGAAGCCTCACACTTACATTACAAATGACCCATGACTGACAAGGCAGTTTGCATTTAGTGGTTGTGACTATAGTCATTTAGTGGTTTATCCATATATTTTCTCCCAGTTCAGGGTCATGAGCCAACTGCTATAGGGCAAGAGGCATGAATTGTCCTAGACAGGTTGTCAGTCTGTCTTATTCTTAACACAAAGAGGCAGAACCACCAATTAATATAACCCCACTAACTACATGTACAGTCCCGATCAAAGGTTTAAGACCATTTGAAAAATGGCAAAGAAATCATATTTTTTATGGTCAGTGTTGGGGAGTAATAGAATACATGTACCGGTGTTACGTATTTAAAATACAAAATATGAGTAACTGTATTCTGTTACATTTACCGCTTAAATTGTATTTAAGCGGTAACTGTAACGGAATACAGTTACTATGTTGAAATAAACTGAATACACAGGGGTCTTTTCCTGTTTCATATGTTAGGTTATCGCCTCTTTATCCCCTCTCTAATTTTTGTAATTCCATGCATTGCTGAAAACCCAAACAAAACACGCAATAAGAGGCACTAATGTAAGCGTTCTGTTAATGTTGGTGGTATCAGTTACACAATGGACCCAGAGCCAGCACAACAGAGCTATCAGTGCACGGGCAGGAATGCATTTCTTACTTTAAAATTCCGACACCACTTCACATTTAAAGAAGAAAGGAATGGGCAAAATCTGACCGTGATAACTATACAGTACTTACTGTACAATAAACAAAGACAAGACAAAGTGGGTTGTGCAATAAGTATTGAATACCAGGTTCAAGTTATTTTCAGGATATTGTAGACAATGCATAGACAATGCAAAATGTGCAAATATAGTATAATTTAGATGTGTGTTCAGTAACTATGTGACTGAGTGTGCAAATAAGCATATTGTTCCCAGGTCCAGTTTATAGTGGATTTGTGAGTCTTTTGGTGAGTATTTTAAGGTTTTTGTAAAGGTGTATGTGTATATCAGTCCTTTGGTGGTAGTGAGTTGAGGGCTCTGACTGCTTGGGGGAAGATGCTCTTGCAGTGTCTGGTCGTTATGGTTTAAATGCTGCGAAACTGTCTGTCAGATGGAAAGAGGGAGAACATGTGAGGGGGTGGAAAGTGTCCCTTTCTATGCTGTTCGCACGTCGGATGATGTGTTTGTCGTAGAGTTGGGTGGGAGAGGGCCTCCAGTGATCCTCTCTGCTGTCCTCACTATCCGCTGCAGAGACTGCTTTTCAGTGAGGGTGCAGTTCCCGTACCAGATAGTGATGTAGCAGCAGATGGTTTCTCAATGGTTTCCTGGTAAAATGATGTGAGATCAGGGAGACTGGCCTTCTTCAGTGGCCTGTCAGTTAGGAAGTCCAAGATCCAATTGCAGAGAGTGGTGTTTATTCCTAGTAGGTCCAACTTCTTTACCAGCTTCTGGGCAATGTTGGGGAGTAACGGAATACATGTACCGGTGTTACGTATTTAAAATACAAAATATGAGTAACTGTATTCTGGTACAGTTACAGTTTAAAAGGGTAGTATTCAGAATACAGTTACTTTGTTGAAATAAATGGATTACACGGCGGTCTTTCCTGTTTCATATGTTAGGCTGTCCCCTCTCTATTTTTGGTAATTCACCGCCGATGGAAACCCAAACAAAACACGCATTAAGAGGCTCTAATGCCTGTGTCTCAATCTCGCGACCCACGTCACCTCTACTGCGGCCCACATAAATGACGTGAAGAAATATTTTTAAAATAAAATAAATAAATATTTTTATTAATTTGAAAAATTATTTAATATGAAGGCAATAGGCAGAGTGTTACAGGCATAGCCCTAAAAAATGTAGCCTCGTGGGCAGTGTAGTCCCTGCTGCAGAGAGAATGGACTGCCATACCTGTTATGTGTCTGTGAGCGCGAGGGAGGGAGAAAAAGGAGAGTCGAAATGAGTACAAGTTGTCACTGACCAGAAACAGGAGAGGGAAGCATGTAAATATAATAACAGCCACTGCAGCCAAAAAGAGTGCCTGATGAGCCCAGTTGCAAGTAAGCTATTAAGACTCGACTGTACACTGTGTTTGTGTTTTCCTCTGAAACAATAAGTTCCATTGGAGCAGCCTTTCAATGCCGCTCTCTGTCTCTCGCTAGCAAAGTTGAGCCAGACAACAAAGTAAAGCTACTTTTCAGCTATGAGCCGACATGGAACCCGACATATTAGCCAGAGGTCTTTACTAAAGTTTGGAGCTGCGGACCTGTTTTATATACGTGTGGAATAGTTTTCTGTACGAGATCACTGCAAAAAGTGCAGCCTTACCTAATGTCCACCCTACTGTTACTCATTTATATTAAGATTTAATCTAGCTGGTATTGGTATGGCGAGTATCCTTCAGTAATAGTAATAAATCACAAAGCAATAGTACATTCATGTAGTTGTAAAAAGCTTGATAATATATTAAGTAATCCAAAGTATTCAGAATACATTACGTAACAGAATACGTTACAAAATACATTTTGCGGCATGTATTCTGTAATCTGTAGTGGAATACATTTTAAAAGTAACCTTCCCAACACTGCTTCTGGGGAATGACTGTGTTGAATGTTGAGCTGAAGTCAATAAACAGCATTCTGACATAACTGTCCTTTTTGTCGAGATGGGAGAGAGAAAGGTGAAGAGCAGACGAGATGGCATCATATATGGAGCGGTTTGGGCAGTAAGCAAACTGTAGCGGGTACAGATTCGGTGGAAGCTGAATTTTCATGTGCCTCAATACCAGCCTCTCAAAGCACTTTGTGATGATAGGCGTAAGTGCCATCGGCCGGTAGTCATTGAGGCAGGACACAGTGGACTTCTTTGGCACTGGGATGATTTTCATGGTTTTAAGGCATGCAGGTACCACAGCTGAGTCCAGTGATGTATTTAGGATGTCCATGAAGATGCCTGCAAGCTGGTCAGCACACTCCCGAAACACCCGACCAGATATGTTTTCTCTAATGGGGAAAAAATTTAACATTGATAAACCTGGTGGTTTCCAACATTACTGGCATGACAAGCAGATCCCACCTGAGATGTTTTCTGCACGCCACAGTGGAGCGGTGTATGGCTGTTATTCATGTGATTTTTCTTCCTCCATACAAGTGTAAGGGATACTCCAAGTTTTGAACTGCCAGCATCATTGCTATGGTGAGAGCAAGAACCTACAGTATCTCACAAAAGTGAGTACACCCCTCACATTTTTGTAAATATTTTACTATATCTTTTCATGGGACAACATTGAATATATGACACTTTGATACAATGTAAAGTAGTCAGTGTACAGCTTGTATAACAGTGTAAATTTGATATCACCTTAAAATAACTCAACATACAGCTATTAATGTCTAAACCACTGGCAACAAAAGTGAGTACACCCCTAAATGAAAATGTCCAAACTGTATCAAAGTATCAATATTTTGTGTGTTCACCAATATTTTCTAACACTGCCGTAACTCTGTTGGGCATGGAGTTCACTAGAGCTTCACAGGTTGCCACTGGAATCCTCTTTCACTCCTCCATGTTGACATGATGGAGCTAGTGGATGGTTAGAGACCTTGCACTCCTCTACCTTCCATTTGAGGATACCGCACAGATGCTCAGTAGGGTTTAAGTATGGAGACATGCTTGGCCAGTCAAGTACCTTTACCCGAAGTTTATTTAGTAAGGAACTGGTCTTTTTGAAGGTGTGTTTGGGGTTGTTATCATATTGGAATACTGCCCTGTGGCTCAGTTTCTGAGGGGAGGGGATCATGCTCTGCTTCAGTATGTCACAGTACATGTTGGCATTCATGGTTCCCTCAATTAACTGTAGGTCCCAAGTGCCGGCAGCACTCATGCAGCCCCAAACAATGACATCCCACCACTATGCTTGACTGTAGGCAAGACACACTTGTCTTTGTACTCCTTACCTGGTTGCCGCCACACATCCTTGACACCATCTGAACCAAATACGTTTGTCTTGGTCTCATCAGAACACAGGTAATCCATGTCCTTAGTCTGCTTGTCTCAAGCAAACTGTTCGCGGGCTTTAGTGCATTAGCTTTAGAAGAGGCTACCTTCTGGGACGACAGCGCTTTGATGCAGTGTGCAGCATATGGTCTGAGCACTGACAGGCTGACCCTCCATGCCTTCAACCTCTGCAGCAATGCTGGCAGCACTCATACATCTATTTTCAAAAGACTACCTCTGGATATGACATTGAGCACGTGCACTCAACTTCTTTGGTTAACCATGGCGAGTTCTTGGCCACTGTGCTGCAGCTCAGTTTCAGGGGGTTGGCAATATTCTTATAGCCTAGGCCAGTGGTTCTCAAACTTTGGTACGCGTATCACTCGTTGTACTTGGGCTACCTGTAGTGGTATGCGGGAAATCTTAATTTGTTTTATTTAAAATTAAATAACATACAAAAAGGTATGCAAAGACGACACGAGAATTCCCGAGGCTCTTCTGGGAGCCGGAGTCGACCAGAAAACATCTCCCGAGTGTGAGTCGGGCAGCCTTTCCTTATTCCTTTGTTTCCCTGGGCATTAAAACTGCAAGGTGGCAGACAGCGCTGTGCTGCAGCACCAAAACGCTGGTAAAAATACAGTCCTTTTCCGTGGTGCCGCCATGCCTCGATCCCAGCCACCATCGATGAGTCGGGGGCCCCCAGGAGAATCAGTGGGGGCACGGAAATGCCGTCGGTGAGTTGGGGACTATCGCCTGGATGCCAAAGCTCCTATTAGCCTGGAGAATGTGATCCCCTTCTTCTGCGAGTGAGCGGTAATCCGTGGCCAGCAGCGGGGAGTTGGCACTGGAGCTGGCAACTGTCAGAGGAAGAGATGAGTGAAGAGGAATCCGCCGTCATCCGTTTCTAGCAAGGACAGAATGCTCTCCATGAGCTCGAGAGAAGTGCCATCACCCAGGCCAGAGAGAGAGAGGAGTTTCTCAGCCCTCTGCATCGGAGAGGAAGTAGCACTGCAGTAGCAGTGCCTTGAAAGTGGTGTAATTTCCTTGATTGGGGGGGATCCGGGAGGAGGGTCATCACACGGCGGCTGGACAGTGGATCCAGCGAAGCCACCACCCCTCAAATAATTTGGGGTCCTTAGGGGCTAAGTAAAGCGCTATACAAATACAGGCCATTTACCATTTATTTTACCAAATTATTATGCAAATAGGATTTTAGTGTTATAAACTTTATATAAACTTTACATTTTTTGTTTTCAGTTAAACTCATATTGTGTATACACACAGGGCTCCTTGAATCACTGATATCAATCTCAGACACCTGCCATAATTAGTTTGTCATGTGAGCCCAATTAAAGGAAAAAATCACATTATTAAGCTGTTAAGATGTTTCACGTTATTAAGCATGCCACAGGTTTAAAAAAATATGGGAATAGAAAAAGAACCTGTCTGTTCCAGAAAAGTGTCAAATAGTGCAATGCCTTGGAGAAGGTATGAAAACATGAGATATTTCACAAAAATGTAAGCATGATCATCTTACTGTGAAGAAATTTGTGGCTGATTCAGAGCACAGATGAGTTTGCATAGATAAAGGCATAATGAGGAAGGTTTTTGCCAGACAAATTCATCAGATTAAGAGAGCAGCTGTTAAAATGTCATTACAAAGCAGCAAACAGATATTTAAAGCTGCTAGTGCCTTTTGGAGTCCCATGAACCTCAAGGTGTAGGATCCTCCAGAGGCTTGCAATTGTGCAACCAATGCTCACAAGCAGAAACGGTTGCAGTGTCCCAAAAATACATGAAGATTAATTTTCAATTTTCAACAACCGCTTGTATAAGCTAGCAGCTTATGCAGCTGATGTTAAGGTAAAGTGTCCTAAAAGTCACACTTTTTCTCTGACAAACAGTTTAATTACATTGTCATACTGTGTGAGTCTATCAATGTTCAATGCACTTCAGTTCCATTAATGCTGGCCAACAGCAGCAAAAATAGCAGCACTTACAGACAGAAAAATTCAAGATATCCTCAGCAACCAACCGTCACTATCACTTTCATCAGACAGAAGTAATCTTCACTGATTCATCGATTCTTATTTTTACAGCCTCTTCCAGAGTTAAAAAACAAAAACCCTGGATACCTGGCATATTGATAGCTAAAGTAAACAGGCTACACTCACTACAGATGAACAGCAGCCAGAGTTTTTGAGGTGACTCAAAAAACCTAAAATAATGCAAAAATATTTAACTGGCACATATTAGTTTTATCTGGATTTATTGCTAAGCATTGATATTAATTCAAATAATTTAATATTACTGGTCTCTCATGACTAAAACACATTTGTCCCATAGCAGCCACTGCAGCTTGGTTCATACACTTGAATTAGGAAGGGTAAGATAACAGAACTCAGTTAACTGTAATCTACTGATGTAACAGATGTAACAGGGAGATTTTACACACTGTCATTCAAGAAAAGTGATAACATTAGAAACCTGAAATTTTATATAATTCATATTAAGTTTGTCTCATACATTTTACAGATGCAGATTTTTCTACAGATTTACACAGATGCCAATGTAAGGATACGCTTTTGAGAAAGTGTAAGGACATTGCTCCTTTTTATCCTTCAAGCTTGCACTTTAGCTTGCAGCACCAGTGGTAGAATGGATACGGCATTTTTAGAATAATTAACTGTTGATATTGTCTTGGATCAGATGGCCTCAATCCCAAACAGAGCTACTGCTGATGATGCACTGTATGAGCAGAGCAGCATCTGGAGAAGCTCTTGGTGCTAGGCAGCATGGTGATGCAGATGTTAGAAATGCCATCCTGGTTTGAACTAAAGCTGAGGCTCCTGTACCTGCATGGGTTTGCTTCAGGTACACCGGCTACCTCTCAAACTCTGAAGACATGCACTTGTGACTCTAAACTGGCTGTGGTACAAATGTGACTTGTGGTCAATAAGGCTGGAAAATTGCTATTTAGAGGTAAGTATATTATAGGTAGGCCCCAAAAAGTTGATTTTGTTCATCTGGATGTAGCGTAGAATCAACGGAATCAACTTTTTGGGATTTCCTTACCTGGAGGATTGAGCATAGATGAAGAAATTATAGGCAGGTGTTTTTCAAGTACCATTACAGTAGCTTGTTAAATGTTTATTTTTAAACAATTTTTAAGCTGTATTCTTTACAATGAGAATGAGACTGCTGTCACATAACAAAGTAAACACTGGATTAAAGAGATCAAAAATATATTCACAGCTTTATAAAATCTGTGGTTGGTGCATCCCTAACATACTGCTGCTTTTATTCACCAGTGCTGTTACTAGTTGACTGACTTTGAGGATTTTCTTTTTAATTTTCCTTTTCAAAAATTGTTAAACGTTAGGTGCAGATATGTTTTAAGCTGATTGCATTGAACATTTTTACATATGGAAACATAATGACTGTGTGAATTAAATGTGGTGCCTTCATACTCCCAGCTGACTGAATCTGACATTGTGTGGGTTTCATGGCTTGTAGGTATGACACTGGGAAAGATGGCTTCATCGACCTGATGGAGCTAAAGCTGATGATGGAGAAGCTGGGAGCTCCACAGACTCACCTGGGCCTGAAAAATATGATCAAAGAAGTGGATGAAGACTTTGATGGCAAACTAAGCTTCAGGGAGGTGAGGAAGTAGTGCAAACACTTTGGGAATTGCTCCAAACAGCCACATTTCAGATAGAAAAGCTGACCCATCACAAAGAGATGTAGCAACTAGTCTTGGTTGTTGTGTCCTTGGGCAAGACACTTCACCCGTTGCCTACTGGTGGTGGTCAGAGGGCCCGGTGGCGCCAGTGTCCGGCAGCCTCGCCTCTGTCAGTGCGCCCCAGGGTGGCTGTGGCTACAATGTAGCTTGTCATCACCAGTGTGTGAATGGGTGGATGACTGGATATGTAAAGCGCTTTGGGGTCCTTAGGGACTAGTAAAGCGCTATATAAATACAGGCCATTTACCATTTAACTAGGAATTTCTTTTTTTTCTACTAATTTCTTAGTAGAATAAACAAGGGGGGGAAAAGTTTAAAAGTAGTTTAAAACTAAGAAACACTCAGATTTTAATGGACAATGCCAAAAACTAATAGCAAAGGCATTTAAAATCGTTAATCAAATTCTTCTTAAGTGTGTGATACCTCGTATCGTGCATTATGAACATTGCACCTTATACTCAATTCAATTTTATTTATATAGCGCCAAATCACAACAACAGTCTCCTCAAGGCCCTTCATATTGTAAGGTAGACCCTACAATAATACATACAGAGGAAACCAAACAATCAAATGACCCCCTATGAGCAAGCACTTTGGCCACAGTGGGAAGGAAAAACTCCCTTTTAACAGGAAGAAACCTCCGGCAGAACCAGGCTCAGGGAGGGGCGGACCATCTGCTGTGACCGGTAGGGGTGAGAGAAGGAAGACAGGATAGAAGACATGCTGTGGAAGAGAAACAGAGATTAATAACAAGTTTCATTCAATGCAGAGGTCTATTAACACATAGTGAGTGAGAAAGGAGACTGGAAAGGAAAAACTCAATGCATCATGGGGAGTCCCCCAGCAGCCTACGCCTATTGCAGCATAACTAAGGGAGGATTCAAGGTCACCTGGTCCAGCCCTTTTTGCTTTACCAAAAAGGAAAGATTTAAGCTTAATCTTAAAAGTAGAGATAGTGTCTGTCTCCCGAATCCAAACTGGAAGCTGGTTCCACAGAAGAGGGGCCTGAAAACTGAAGGCTCTGCCTCCCATTCTACTTTTAAATACTCTAGGAACAACAAGTAAGCCTGCAGTGTGAGAGCGAAGTGCTCTAATAGGGTGATATGGTACTACAAGGTCATTAAGATAAGATGGGGCCTGATTATTTAAGACCTTGTATGTGAGGAGCAGGATTTTGAATTCAATTCTGGATTTAATAGGAAGCCAATGAAGGGAAGCCAGTAGAGGAGAAATATGCTCTCTCTTTCTAGTCCCTGTCAGCACTCTTGCTGCAGCATTTTGGATTAACTGAAGGCTTTTCAGTGAGTTTTTTGGACATCCTGATAATAATGAATTACAGTAGTCCAGCCTAGAAGTACTAAATGCATTACCTAGTTCGTCAGCGTCATTCTGAGATAGGATATTTCTACTTATAGAGATGTTGCGCAAATGGAAGAAAGCAGTCCTACATATTTGTTTAATATGTCCATTGAAGGACATGTCCTGGTCAAAAATGACTCCAAGGTTCCTCACAGCGTTACTGGAGGCCAAGGTAATGCCATCCAGAGTAAGAATCTGGTTGGATACCATATTTCTAAGATTTTCAGGGCCGAGTACAATAATCTCAGTTTTATTTGAATTAAGAAGCAAAAAGTTAGCGGCCATCCAGGTCTTTATGTCTTTAAGACATTCCTGCAATTTAACTAATTGGTGTGTGTTATCTTACTTCATGGACAGATAGAGCTGGGTGTCATCAGCATAGCAGTGAAAATGTATGCTATGTCTTCTGATGATACTGCCTAAGGGAAGCTTGTATAATGTAAACAGAATTGGTCCTAGCACTGAACCCTGTGAAACACCATAATTAACCTCAGTGTGTGAAGAGGACTCTCCATTTACATGTACAAATTGGGGTCTATTATGTAGATATGATACAAACCACTGCAGCACAGTACCTGTAATACCTACAGCATGTTCTAATCGCTCTAATAGAATATTATGGTCAACAGTATTTAACGCTGCACTGAGGTCTAGCAGGACAAGCACAGAGATGAGTCCACTGTCAGAGGCCATAAGAAGATCATTTGTAACCTTCACTAAAGCTGTTTCTGTGCTGTGATGAGCTCTGAAACCTGACTGAAACTCTTCAAATAAACCATTCCTCTGCAGATGATCTGTTAGCTGTTTGACAACTACTCTTTCAAGAATTTTTGATATGAAAGGAAGGCTAGAGATGGGCCTATAATTAGCTAAGACAGTTGGGTCTAGGGATGGCTTTTTAAGTAAGGGTTTAACTACTGCCGGCCTGAAGGCCTGTGGTACATAGCTGATTATTAGAGATTGAAGCATTAATTAATGGCAGGACTTCTTTGAGCAGTTTTGTAGGAATGGGGTCTATAAGACACGTTGATGGTTTGGTGGAAGTAATTATTGAAGTTAACTCAGAAAGATCGATTGGAGAAAAAGAGTCTAAATATCAATGGTACTAAAGGTAGCTGTAGATACATCTGTGAGATGATTATGGGTAATTTTTTTCTCTAATGATTAAAATTTTAACAACAACAATGAAGAAAAACACTTGAACTGATTTTTAATTTATGAAAACATGTTATTACAAAAGATGTTCACATATTACCGTATTTTCACGACCATAAGGCGCACTTAAAAGTCTTAGATTTTCTTCAAAAAGTACGGCGCGCCCTATAGCGCAGTGCGCCCTGTGTGTTGTAAGGAGGACATAGTAGAGAACACCATGAGAACGCTAAAGGGTGAAGTGTGGGCGCAACCCTGAAAATGGCAAAGAGACACGCTTACGAAGCACAGTTTAAACTGAAGGCCATCAGCTACGCGGAGGAACATGGAAATCGAGCAGCGGCGAGAGAATTTAAGATTAACGAATCGATGGTTCGCAAATGGAGGAAGCTAGAAAACAAGCTCCGGCAGGTCAAGAAAACGCAGCTGAGTTTCCGCGGACATAAGGCGAGGTGGCCCGAGTTGGAGGAAAGACTCGAGCGGTGGATCATCGAGCAAAGAACGAGCGGGAGAAGCGTTTCGACGGTCACCATTCGGCTAAAAGCAGTTTCACTTTCACTTTTTATGAAACGGTGCCATTTTTCCATCCGGACCAGGACTACGGTAGCGCAGCAACTTCCAGCGGATTATATGGAAAAGCTGGCCATCTTCCGCTCCTACTGCAGTAAACACATCGGCGACAAACACATCCAGCCCAGCCACATCACAAACATGGACGAGGTCCCGCTCACTTTTGACATCCCGGTGAGTCACACTGTGGAGAAGAAGGGGACCAGCACGGTAGTGATACGCACAACGGGGCACGAAAAATCTTCTTTTACTGTTGTGCTTGGCTGCCATGCTAATGGACAGAAACTGCCACCTATGGTGATTTTTAAGCGAAAGACTTTGCCTAAAGAGAAGTTTCCAGCAGGAATCATCATTAAGGCAAATGAAAAGGGCTGGATGGATGAGGAAATGATGAAAGAGTGGCTGAGGGAGGTGTATGTAAGGAGACCAGGTGTTTTTTTTTTTTTTCCACGCATCACCATCGCTCTTAATTTGTGACTCTATGCGTGCCCATCTCACAGCCGATGTGAAAAAACTAGTGAAACAAATGAACTGTGAGCTTGCTGTCATTCAGGAGGCCTGACAAAGGAACTCCAACCGCTGGACATCGGTGTGAACCGCCCGTTCAAAGTAAGGCTGCGAGCGGCCTGGGAGCGATGGATGACCGATGGAGACCACAGTTTCACCAAGAGTGGAAGGCAGCGCCGGCCGAGTTACGCCACAATTTGCCAATGGATTGTAGATGCTTGGGCTAACATGTCTGCTGGCACTGTTGTTCGAGCTTTCGCAAAAGCCGGCATCATTTCCGAGGAGCCGCACGGCACGGAAAGTGACTCTGACAGTGAAGAAAGTGAACCTGGCATGTTTGATGGAGATTTAGCGCAGCTGTTCAATTCAGACACAGAGGATGAGGACTTCCATGGGTTTGATGATAAAAATGTGAGTACCAAACTTTGTTTTGCTCCCGCTTTATTTTTAAATACGCATACGGTACTTGTATGCGCCCTATAATCCAGTGCGCCTTATGTGTGTGTTAAATACAGTAATGGCACACATAACTGAGACCGTGCCTTTTAATACAGTGCGTCTTATGGTCGTGAAAATACGGTACTGAAATATGACAAATGAGCATCTAAATAAATAAAGCACAACTGAAAGGTGTGGCACATTGTGCTGTGCATTACTAAAATTGCACTTATCTATAAAACTAAGCAGTTTCCAGGCCATCTGGTAGATGTAATCTTACCTGCATGTTCTGGGTCTACCCCAGGTTCTCCTACCAATAGGACATGCCCTGCCGGAACACCTTACCCAGGAAGCGACAGCCTCACTGGCGCCATATCTAGATTAAACGACTGGTTTGTCTGGAAATGACTAGTGACACCAGTACGATTAGCTGTATAGTCGATTGTGTGGGTAATTCTTCAAAAAAAATCAAAAAACAATCATTTTTAGGCATGTAAATAAAGTTAAATTATTTTTGCTGTTCAATACCTCAGAAAGTTCAACTTACGACTTCCGGTGTCATGGTGGCGAGAGTAGCAGCATAAACAGGAGCTCCTGCATCGATAGCTAAAATAATCCGCAATTCAAGAATATAATCCATTAAAAGCGACTTTCCCCTCAAGAATAATGAGCGGAGATAAAAATAAGAAGGGACAAGCCCCAGGCCGAAGCTTAGAAATGCGACTTGAGAGTAAGACAAATGAAACATGCTCCAAGCAAGAGGGCGAGAAGATGGCGGCGGAGGCCACAACATCAGTGCTAGGCCCCTTCAGACAGGTGGTGAGTGAAGTAGTGGTGGAGGGCATGCAAGACCTTAAGGCAGAGATGAAGAAGGAGCTATCGCTCGTGAGAAC